AATGACTGAAATAGGCCCGTTAGAAATAAACAGGTATTTTTTCAAAAAAAAAGCAGCTACAACATCTATTAGGAGTCTTTGAAAGGGAATACGAATCACTGTACTGGCCTAATTCACAAATTGACTGTTGCGCTTATTAATTACCTCGTTATTCCACAACACCAGACAATAATACAGGGTGTCCATAAAGTACCTTTACAGTTTCAATTTTGTTATGAAGGCAGTTCTCAATCTATTTTAACCAGGTTTGTTGTTTTTTAAACAGTAATTATTCACGTTTTTTCACTTCATTTAATACATCTGTGAGGGCCAAAACAATATATGGTATCGATGAATTCCCTTTGCAATTTTAAAAAAATTCAGGACTTTATGGACACCATTTATCAAACAAGAAGTTAGTAAAAATCGGAATTTACTCCTCCCACAATTTGTTAGTTTCATAATATCAGTAATAAATCAAAAAAATAATACTTATATTTATCGATACCTAAACGTCTCGTGAACTTTCACCTACTTAAAATAATTTACATCATGATTAAAATCTTTACATAACCAAACTCACGATCGCGCTGCTTACTTTGAACCGGAAATTTAAGTTTTATAATTACATAACACGCTATGACTAAACCAATTCGAAAAAAAAAAATTTTGCTTAGCTTATGCAATGCGAAAATTTGTGCCTCGGGGTGTGGTTAGTAGTAAAATTGATTGTTACGTAACTATCGTTTAGAACGCCACTGAAGCGTGATACAATAACAGTCGAACGAATGTTCTATCTCTTCGCGGTATTTATCGTTGATCTTGTATGGCCGTTCTAAAGATTGTTAGTCTGAGACTCGATTGATCCATCGCCCTTGTTTGGCCGTCTGTGCTGATCGAGACACGTATATAAAGAGTCGCCCAGACAGGAAGGATCAGTTTTGAAACGCGAGATCAAACAGAGCGTATTGAAAGTTTAAGACAGATATCTGCTAGAATTATGGATTTATACATAATATACAGAGTGTCTATAAAGTCCATTTCAATTTTATTATGAAGTCAGTTCTCAATATATATATCTTAAACAGGTTTGTTGTTTTTAATCAGTAATTGTTCAAGTATTTTCAAGTATATTCATATAATACATCTGCGGAGGCCACAATTATATAAGGTACCGTGTCGATAAATTATTCCCTTTGCAATTTTAAAAAATGTTAAGACTTTATTGACAGCATATAGTTCTGCTTTGAATTTCACATAGACAGGTTTAGTAATATGCAATGGATAATATGCATAACTGCAAATCGATTCTAAGCATTTAGGACTCGTACTATTTCAATTCTTCACGCAGCTTGAGTCAAATTAAAGCTGTCATAGAAATTTTGTAAAACATTAATTGATCAACTATGGCGGTGATATTGCCAAAGTTTAAATTGTGAAAAGATTTAGAAGTGTAGTTTGATATTTTAAAATTATATACCGTACGAAAGTCGTCGATCACATAGGAAACATTAGTTTAGATCTGTGGTCACCAAAGTGTGGGTCGCGACCCCAAGTTGGGTCGCCTTGAATATTTCGGGGGTCGCCGAGTGTCTGGCGTTGTATTCTTGTTATATTTTTCATTATTCTATTGCGTGCATTCTAGACTGAGCTGTCTAGCACTACATAGCAAGTTTGGGTATTCTGAATTACAGTGATATATTTTATAATAAGGCTATTGTGTGACGACAATAATTAAATTGTAACACGAAATCTAAAGCGTGTGATAGAGTTTTTGGGAATGAGATTTTACTGTGATTAGTTTTTAGTGGTTTGAAATATTTTTTTTTTCTTTGCCATACCTAGGCGTCACAAGCTTATCATACGTCATAATTTTTGAAATGGGGTCGCGTCTCAAAAAGTTTGACGACCACTGGTTTAGATAAGCGAGGCTACACAAAGCGTATTGGTATGTTAAAAGCAAACGTAGGAATTTGGTTTAAATCATGAGTTTTGTAGCCTTGCTGAACACTAACATGAATGTATTTCTGTAGCGTTTTGTCAAAACTCTCCCAAACAAGCATTTTATGTTTCAAGTGAGAACAATAATAAGTTCCTTATACGGTTTTAAAATTTTGGTCATATCATTTCAAATATTTCGTGTCGAGTTAAATTTTTGGTAGAAATGTGGTAAAACATTCTGAGAAGAAAGTAACGAAATGATTAACATTTTTAATTATTTTAAATCCTCAACGGATTCGAAGCTTTAGTTTCATGTTTTTTCGAAATCTTAAGTTGTCGAAGACATAGCAAGCATCCATTTTGAAACGCAAGACTAGAGAGGAAGAGAGAGAGAGATTTATTATTTCGTCAACTAGAAAACAAGCAATGGTACAATAAAATATATACAAATATGCGAGTTAATTTGGTATAAATTCGGACTAAACAGAAAGTATTCGAAAACTTTAAAAATTAGGGATTTAGATACAGAAAAACGTGAAGTATTTAAATTTGTTTTAATGTCTCCAGACTAAGTCAATACCCGTTTCGGCAAAAAGGGTTGTAAACGTGAGAATGAACAAAGCGTATTGTATTTATAGCTTTAAATGTCTTGTTTCAAATAAGAATAACAATACGGGATTTTCAAAAAGTCCTCTTACAACTTACGGTTTCAAAATTTTGGTTTAGGTCATTTCAAATCGTTTTAAAATATAGACACGTATATAAAGAGTCCCTCAGACAGGAAGAATTAGTATTGAAACGCAAGCTTGAACAGAGCGTATTGAAAGCTCGGGCTTCCAATATCTTGCTATAGAAGAAAGTCGGGGAAGATGGCGCCGTTTTGTTTGTCATATAGACATCAGATTTAATATTAGACGAATTTAGAAATGTAGGGCTTCAAAAGTCTTGCTTCACCTTTTGACACAGAGTGTCCATGAATTCCTGTTACGGTTTCAAAATTTTTGTTTTTTTTGTTCTTTCAAATATTTTGAAGTTGCAGACACGCCGCTCAGACAGAAACAATCGACGTTGAGACGCGTCATTCAGCAGATCAAATTGGTGTATTCGAAATGAGGAGTTAGTAATATTTTTATTATTAGCAATATAGCAAAACGTGGGTTTCGGCTGTTAGATTATACAACAAAAAAATTAATTGCCAATAACGATGGATATGTATTGCTGGTCGCAATGTGTATGTCATATTAGATGGCGTTTCTAGTTTTATTTAAATATATAAGTTAGAGCTGGGAATGATTCATACGGAGCCCCACGGATTAAGGCAAGTTTAATTTCTGGTAGAAATGCTATGAAACATCATGAGCAGAAAGTGGGCGTTGGTGAACATTTTCTTATATTTATTTTAGATAACAAGACTGAAAAGAGAGTATTGGTGTATTCGAAGAGTTAGAAAATTAGAGATTTAGATACTGTGATAGGTGATGAGATTAATTTTTTTGAATGTCCCCAGTCTAAGTCAATGCACATTTTGGCGAAAAGGTTTGAAAACATGAGATTGAAATAAACGTAATTGTTTGTTTAAGAGGAAAAAAGTTCAAACGAGACTTATTGACGATTTTAAAAATCTGGTCACATTTTTTTTCAAATATTTTGAAATTGCAGACGCGCCGCTCAGACAGGGAGAATCCGTTTTGAAATGCGAGAATGAACAGAATTTTAACTGGGAGCTTGTGATACAATATGTTCAAAAGTTTCTCGACGGTACACGCTTATTTCGAGTCTTTTTCATGCTATTAAATGTGTTTGAATGTCCATATAAGGTCATGAAAACAGATTCATTATTATAGCGGTTCGACAAGTCCGACAGTTGATCAATTTCGGTTACGTTCAACACATGTTTTTTCTGAATTATTTAGATGTCAGCAGTAATGATAAATAGTAAAAATATTCCGTGACACGAGCGTAATTAGCGATAGAAATGCTGTTGGGCAATACAATTTAGCACGGGTCGATCGATCGAAATATTGGTACTCCAGAAGTATGCACACCAAGATGGCGCACAACCTGAACATAGAATGTGCACTAGGTTAGGGTTATCAGGTTGTGTGACATCTTAGTACACATAATTCTGAAGCGCCGAAATATTTAGTAAATATGGTTCTAATGTGTTGGTGGCCGATGGGTTCTCTGTATCTTATGTAGCCATTGTAAATAAATGGTATACCGTCTTTGGCCGTAAATGACGTAATCAGAACTGTGACGTCATTTTTGTGTTATGACGCAATATTCAATTTGAAAGTAACAAAAGCATATTTGATACGAATTGAACCCATATGAACCCGGAAATGAAACGAAAATTGTAATTCTTCTTACTTCCACCCAAATCACAACCGACGCGTGTTATTATATTACGTTTTTCGAGCGTTTCTTTGACCTTTGCGTGGACAGGAGTATAGAATAGGATTTATTAATTCTCTCGGAGGAAAAGGAAAACCGATAAGACCTATTTTTCAGCGTGGAAGGTGTTGGATGGGAGTATAAATAATGAACATGGACTCCAGAAATCCTCGCAATTAGAGTGTTCAATGTTCACAAACACCTGTATTTTCTTGGAAATGTGGGTTAATGTGAACAAGCGCTGGTTACAGAATTTGTTGTAAACCTGTCTATAGGTTTTGTTTTGTTGGACACGTCAGTGTACATAACGATCGTTTCAATATTATGTTATTGTTGGTATTATTCTTCTCTTTCGTCATGATGAAATCGCTTTTTTCTTCGAATACTGAACCAATTGCTTTGAGATTTTTCAGTGGTTAAAGATTGATTTTTTTGCCAGAAGGCTATTACTTTTAGTTATTTCAAAAATTTCTGTGGACTTCAAGAGATCTGTTTTTTATGTGTCAGAATAAAACATAGCGACACATTGTGACGTGTCCATATATTTGAGCACAGCTCTCTTGTAGTATTGTATACAGATTTTTAGTTAACAGACAGAAACATACAACTCGTCCCATGAAGGTGTTAAATCCTCAATCAATTGAATTTGCAGTAAATTTGGTCCGATATATATTGTGCACTCACATTTATTTACTTGTTTCCAGTTTTAGCTTATTAGCTGAAATAGATCACCAAACGGACATTTCGTACCATGAAAGGGCCGACTCATCCAGCGATTAGGATAGCAGTAACTATCATTGCGTTTATAGTGTTCATTCTCACTCTTATTTTATCTTTCCTTGGAAACGTACCTATTGGAGTCGGAGATGAAAACTCGACGGAGAACATACTAGGAGGTTAGTATACTTATAAGTGAATTCCCGTTTTTGTTTTATCGCCAGTGCCGTACCCGACAGGACATGGCAGCCATGGGCGACGTTTGAATAAGGCCGCAAAAAGGGTGAAAAGTCTTAGTCGTAAAATGGTTCGATGAACTAATTTCTAATTGAATAAACTAAAATTCGTATTTTTACTCAAATAATAACGTATCATTAACTTCAATAACAGCCCGTATAAATTGCTAACCAATTATCAAGATTTTAAACGTTGCCATGGACACCACGCCATTTGTTTTGTTAATCAAATGTTGGCTTAAAATATGGGATCTTATCTTTATTCACAAAGCCTACACCAAGAAACACCCCCGTCATATTAATATTAATTATCCAGTAAGGATAAAGAATGCAGATTGCGCTGAAAAAATTATTTTCAAATCATTTCTAATCTTAACCCAACTAATATGTATAAATACGCATTTTCTGTATCATACTCCGACCAAACCCACCAGCTGACACACGGTCCAACCTGACAATTGATAATTTCTCGCCAACAGTCCCACAGCGCCATCTCGAGGACATGCTATTCTGGTTAATATTTTAATATCACTAATGGCTCGGCTCGGCGTTGTGGCGCATCGTGCTAAACGTTAGGAATACGCTCGCCACCGCACATTTGTTCATGAATCTATCTGGCTGACCGTACCCGACATGGATTGGTAACCAGAATAGAGGCGGTGGTTCGCCATATAATTGAGCCGTTCCACAGGTTCTCGATTTTGAGGTAAAACAATGATTTAAAGTGGTCTCTAAAATATTGATTAAATAAAATTCCTTTTCTAGGGGTTTTCATCAACACCATACCGGACCTGAGTGCGAGATACCCAAGCAATCTCAATGCAGCATCATGGACATTCAACATCATATGGCCTGTTATTTTCCTTTACAATTTCGTCAGCGTTTTCTACATGCTGGTCTCCCTGTGCCTTCCTGAGGATAAAAGCCCAATTATGAGAGAGCCTGCAATGATGCCAGTGGTAAGTCTCAGGGCCTAGAAAAAAATTTCAAGTCTTTAAAAATTTTCAATAGTCTCAAGGGTATGATAACAAAAAATGATATGTATGATATAGAAAAAGTTTCTTTTTAACATTGAAATTTGGGGAAACTCCTGGCCCTCGTTCTTTAATGAAAAATACTAGAATTTGCTTTTAGCGAGTTTCTATCAATTACTTTGTCCATCACGTCTAGTGATAAAGGAGAAAATCACTATATGTCACTCAATATATGACCTGCGTTTCTCATCGAAGTGCATCTATCAAAACACGCTGTGATGTTGCTTTATCATCTTTTAAAAAAATTGGAAACAAATAACAGCTGATAGTTTAATGTCAAATAACAGCATGTCATGATTGGCATACCGTAAGGCGGCAAATAATTAAATATCATAATATTTCAGAGATATGGGTAAGGAATACAGACAAGAATGTCTAGAACGCTTACGCAAAAAAAACTCCACAACCCATGGAAGAAACGAAACCCGCTATGCGTATTATGTATAAAAAGTGAAAAATTTCTGGCGATCCAGGTGCTAAAATACACCTATATATTACATATCGATGCGTCTTATGCAAGGAGAAATGCGATAATATAAATTAATGTCATCACAAATGGTATCTTGTAAAGGCCTTTAATCTTGTCCCGGATATCGGCAAGTCCAAGGCTAATATCGAAAACCCTGCTTTCAATGCAGTATTTGTCTTGTTGTTTAGGGTTCCATAATATTCTGGACACTGGGTTGGGGCGTTGGGCGTTAGCTCTGTCGTGGATATTCGCTAACGATCGTGAAATCTTAGGGTTGGCAATGTTCTTCATCCTTACTGGGTGTTGGAGTACGTACGTGGCCCTGGGTCTCTCCTACAGAAGTTATTATAAAGATATTCGGACACTGGAAGAGAATAGTAGCCGTAAGTATTCGTTTCTTGCTTTCATTCGTCCACGCATACGAAACGACTGAACTGGCTTACTAATACCACCACCACCAATAATTTTTAATCTGATTTTATTCTGATTATCTCAAACGTTAGAAAAACGTACCAAGTTATGTTAGGAAATGAAGCAATCACCTAACAACTCATCTAGCCTAAGAAAGAGAGAATCGCTGCCCGTGTTTACCCTAACGTTATTCAATAATAAAATGTCGCACAACCATAATATTTTATTTTTAAAGATAAGGAATCATATTACGCCAACAATGTGAAGTCACAATACAAAATTGTGATGTCATGATACAGAAAAGTTGATATAATAATACAAAATACGATTTTTTAATAGAAATAAAAAATACAAATCTGTGATGTCATAATGTGAAATTGACATCACAATACAAATCTGTGATGTCATAATGAAAACTCGAAATTATATTACCAACTGTGATTTCAAATCTTCAGATAGATAAGAGATGACTCTTTTGAAGTTGTACTAATTTTATGGACTGTTTTGTTTGATTCTGTCCGTCTTTAAGTTTTGTTAGCGCAGGGAAGTATAGCTAGAGTTGCTGCGACAGCTTTTAACTTATCCTAATCTAATATAATATGTTCTTTTTTCATATATCGTAGTTTACCGCACTTTAGATCAATTTTTTCCTAAAATCGATTGTGTGCCTAATCTATGTATCAGGTGGCGCTTCATTCTTCATTGCTCACACTCCAAACCAGTACCGGTAGCCTACTATTGTTTTATGAATAAACCGGCGTTTCACGTTTTCTTTGAATAAAATACAATAACCAATTTGTCTTAATTAAGATCGATTGTAAGCCAGTCCGCCGAATGTACCGGTATGGATCAGGTGGTCCTTTACGCTTTATTGCCTACAACACTCACAACCATTACTGGTGTTCATGTTTTATTCACAATCTGCCGTTTTATGTTATCATTTAATAAAATACAATAACCATAACAATATTTAGTTCCTTTGCTTAATGAACTTTGAACAGTAACCCTATACTCGTTAAAACCTGTTGTTCCTTTAGAACCATGGACAAAACCTCAATCTGATCAATTTATTGAATGTGTATCTAATGGTCCGTAGATAGGTACGATACTCATTATGTTACGCAAATTTTTATTTTTGGGTATTTCTAAATTCAGCGGGTGGTAATTATTTTGCTGTAGGTCATAAAACTATTTATCAATTTGGAGGTTGAAATTTGAGGGATGGGGGGCCTCCATGACTATATATACGGGGGGAGGCATATTTATATCGGGGTAGAGGAAAGTCGATGAGACAACTAACTATATGGACGAACCACGACCTCTCGTCCGGTTACCAGTCCATGTCGGGTATGGGATTAGTTTTAGTTATTTGTTTTCGGAAGCATGGACTTGATGGTGGAGGAAGCCGTAACCTACCAGTGGTTACGGGAACCACCCAACGACTGTACAACGGTGAAGAGTACAGCAATCCTCTCGCAATTAACTATCCCGCATGGGATTCGAACCTGCGAACCCAGGCAAGGTAATCGATGGCAAGAGATGCGGTGGCGAGCGTATTCCTAACGCTTAGCACGATGAGCCACACCGCCGCGCCCTATTATATCTGATATTTATCCAAGTTTTATTCTCATCAGAAATGCTTTGGTTGGTCAGAATAATTATACACAACGGATATGGTATTCTTGCTGCCTGGACAACTTGCGCTTGGAAGCTGATGTTGGCAACCACCATTACTTATGAAGACAGCAGAGGAACGGATAATTACCCTGCTAAACTGAATGGTAAGATATTTAGCTATGTAGATGCAGTATCTTAGGGAAGGGGATAGGATAGGATTTTCAGATTTATCTTGGTCCTGTAGCTTTCCACTTCGCTCAGGATAAAATCCCATCCTTAATAAATGGTGACTCCAAGTCAATCCCTGAGCTTAATCTCACTCACAGTTAGTCGATGATGAGATCATTCCATTTATAGGAAGCCATGTTCACAACACGACGTACGTACTTCCAGATGGCTTGGTGCAATCATTTTTGCATATGTTATTCCTAACCCCCACCTGAATACGTCATTCAAAACTTACGTCACTACTATGTCACAGTAGCGTAATAAGGCCCTTCAAACCATACTCACTATCATCCAAGACGTTCACCCGAAATCGAGCAAGCCATTTCTCGCCATAGCTATCCCGTTATGAGAGATGACTGAAGATGCCATTTCGGGCTCCGTAGCTATACTTTGGTAAGCTCTTTTTGTCGTGATTGTGAGAGAGATCATACTGACGTCATCTTTGGATGACAGAGCCAGATGGGGGTTAGGAATAACATTTGCAAAAATGGCTGTGACAAGCCAAATAGAAGTACTTACGTCATTTTTGTCGTTGGGCCATATGACTAACTTCAGACATGTAGCTGGCCCAGACCAAAACATTAGTTTTTTATGTACACTCTAACACAACAAATTAAAGAATTCTCACAATGTGAAATCTATTTTCCAAAATTTTAGTTTAGCACTTAAATTTCAAATCCCTGCATTGTTTGTTAACATCAGCTTTAACAGTACTTGTAGCAATCCATACGAGCGCCCTTTTCAACATAATTTGGATTTTATGTTTAGCGGGGAAAATCTAAGTGTTGACAAGGGATGGGTTGGGACCCACGGGCCACCTGTTGCAACCCCTGAATTAGGTAAATCGAGTCACTTATAGTCTCGCGTCGAGTCAAGCCCTCCAGCACTGGTTTCCATAACCATAGAGATTTCTCAATGCAGATCCTGAATGAACTTTTATTTTTCAGGTTCACTGACTTCAGAAGATGCCGGGACAATCTCACTTTCTATCCTACTGGTTGAAATCATAGTTTGGTTTATTTTAGAAAATTTCGTTATCGAGCAATACTGCCGTTACACCCTTTCGATCTACCCTACCCTGATTTTTGCGTTTTCTGGCGTCGTTACGGGAATGTATGTCACACCATTCTCACGTAATTTAATTCTAGCTCTTGTGGGCTTGATTTTGGTCATTTTAGCGTTTTTCGCAAGAGTTGGGCTGGTGATATACAGACATAGAAATAGACCAAAATTTGCTTGAATAATTTTGTAGAGCTTAAATGAGATACCTAGTTTAGCATTTTTAGGATATTTCTATCAGATATTATACGCGTCATGTTTAATGATAAATACCACCAGGTAATTATATACTGTCAATTTTGGCCCCCTGAGAATCATTCCATCTGACGCGTTTGAGAAATCCTGATCTTATCGGACAGACTTTAATCATTTGCCAGTTGTGTTATGCTTCCATATATATTGCATTCATTTTATATTACTTTACATGACACAGTACATCTTCTAACCCTTCTTTTTCAATGCAATCATATTTTAAACAGTGGGATTTTTATATGACTTTTCCATGACTTTTTTTGCAATGAATACCTTTCCCTCAATCGTGCCATTTTTTGTTTTATTAAATCTTTAACCTAACTTTTTCTCTATTTTTCAATTCTCTGAAATTTACCTGAAGTGTCTGTGTTAAAAATAGTGATGAATCCTATAGTGTGTGTACCAAGTTAGGGTTGGGCCATAATTTTATTCCGATTTTCCCTATTTTAGTTCCTTTACAAGTTCGGAGACTGTCTGTGTTAGCCAAGTGAATATCCTCCATTCCCATAGGTTTCCGTTCCTTTTACACAACTTGATGTAAAGTAGGCAAACAAAATTAGTTACCTCTATATTGGACACACACTTCTGGAGCGCCTATACGTTTCCTCTATCTGGCAATATTTTCTGAAGTTTACCCGAATTTTTTTGGTGTTAGTTGATACTTCGAAACCAACATTATCAATTTTACTCACAATTTTTTTGTATACCTGATTGTTATCTTTATAATTCTTGTAACTGAAATTGATAAAGGTTTTTCTGATAAGCGACTTTCTGAAGTACGTTTTTCCATTATATTGTCGATTTGTTTCGCGGTATATGTTGCTATTTTGACTTGATTTTTAACAAAATTTTATTCTAAAATTGTTTCCCAATTTTCCATTTTACTTTAGAATTTAACAGATACAGATAACTTAGATATTGCCTACTATTTTTCCTATCCACCCTTTTTTATTCCAACCCCCCCCCCCCCCCCCCATGTATTCCCTTTTCAATAATGTTTATCCTATATATTTCTTTTTTAAGCTACTACTGATACACTATCATCTCTTCTGAAGGTAATAAGACTTTTGAGACCAGAATTTTTGTTCAATTTTGGGTTTCATCTACTCGTTCATTTAATTTTTGCCCCCCCCCTCTCCCTGAAGATTTTTTATTCAAATTTTTCTGCCTTTCTGAATCTACCTCAATTTTGATCACATGTTTTTCATTTCAGACTACCTCCAATTTATAATGTTGCTATCAGTTATTTTTTAAGATTTTGCCTACTTTTTCTTCCGTCTACTTTTTTCACTCCCCCCCCCCACCCATTTGTACCCCTTTTCAATAGTGTGTACCCAATATTTTTCTCTTTAAGCCAATACTGATAGACTATAAATAATTTTTTGTGGCCTATAATACAGGTTGTTTCATTCAATTTTTGGTCTCATCTACTCTTTTAATTCAATTTTTATCAAATCCTCAAAAAATATTCACTTGTCTTTCTTACTGAATTTACCTCAATTCTGATCACATGTTTTTCATTTAGATTACTCCTAATTAATTAAAAATATTATTCTTGAATTGGACTCATAAAAATGAAGGAGGCTTCTAGAGGAGTAAAAATTGCTTTCACAGTCATTGGAGTTTTAGTTTTTCTCCTCTCGTTTATTTTCGCGTTCCTAAACAACGTCCCTGTTGGTTTCGAGCAAGGAAACTCAACCGTAAATGCAGCCGGGGGTAAGTGAAATATTTTTCATTTTTATTCAAGATCGTAGGGAAGGGTTCCAAGCAATGTTCCCTCTAATTTTTTGTAGTATGTGTGCGCAGAAATTTTGGTGTGTGCGCACTTTTTTGGAAATGACTAATATTTGTGCAAACACCAATGAAGAAATTTTGGCGTTCTAACCGGGTGATAAGTGCGCCAACAACAAACTTTCTCAACCTGCCAACCGAAAACATTGTTACATTACATCGAAATACGTCTGTGCGCAGTAAATTTATGCGTGTGCGCAGCCTCTGAAAGCTGTGTGCGCGCGCACACACGCACACACTTTAGAGGGAACACTGGTTCCAAGTTTTTTTGTATAATGACGAATACGACGCTGGCCTCTTGGAGGCGTAGTCAGGAATTTTTAAAGGGGGTTTCTGAAATTTGTAATCGTCAAGTTAGACCTTAACAGATAGCAAGTCCTGAGATCGGAAAACGTGGGTCTTGAAGGTCTAAAAAGCTTTTCAAGCAACCAAGAAATTGTTATGTATGATACAGGAAATGCTTTTTTTTACATTTCAAAAAGGGGGTAATGTTATTAATTATTATCTACAGCAAATACAAAGCATATTTCCTCCCTGGAATTGAATTCCTTCTTGATTAAAAAATGTGAATCTTGATCAGTGGTTACCAAAGTTGATTGACCGAGGGCCAAAATGAGGAGTATTAAACTATTTCACTCAAGTTTGGCGGCCATATTAAATCATTAAGGCCCGGAGGTTTCGGTTTTTGAACTGCCGCCATAGATAATATTAGAAAACATATTCTTGTCTTCATCAACTTCATACATTATATTTACAGATATATTCATCAACACCATAGCTGACTTAGACGTTCGTTACCCAGTCACGGTAGTGCCTCCAGCATATGTGCTTGTCGTGATATGGCCACTTATTTACTTTTGGAATCTAATTGGAGCTGCATATTTAGTCGCTTCCCTATTCTTATCCAATGAGAAGAGTCCTGTACTGAGAGAGCCCGCATTATTTCCAATAGTAAGATTTTAATTTCATTTTATTCATGTTTATGGTACTGTATTATATCTAAAATGCTTGTCAATAGCTTCTAGAATCCTAGTGGCTGCTTTCCATTGCTTATGCATTCACTTTTTTGCTTTGAAAAAACTCATTAAAAAAAACGTGTATAAATTTAATCGCAATCGCAACAAATTCCATGAGCTATTTTAGCTGAAACATCAAAATTTAATTTAGATTTTAGTTTGGTTGTGGCAGCATCAGGCGGGCCAGATTGAACTACACAACGTGCCGGATTTGGCCCATGGGCGGTAGTTTGCCCATGTCTGTTATAAATCCTAATATAGTTGAATCCAATGCCCCAATTACTGTCTCAAACTGAGGGCAGTTTTGTAAGATGAAGTGGGAAATATTTATTACTTATCGATTTTAATCGGTAAGTATGTTGATAGGTATTTGTCTGTCTGTATGTATGTCTGTTTGTCTGTTAGATGCATGGATATCTCACGAAAGCGAGATTGAATCTGCTCCAGATTTTGCATATGCATTCATCTTATCTCGGACCAGAAGCCTATTGATTTTGGGCGAATTATGTCGTATAATTAGCGAGTTATTAATTAATTAGTGATGGGACACAAGGTGTCATTATGGAGTAAGAGCGCTGTTTTGGGGGATCCCCTAACTTTCGATCGATAAGTCTTCGGCCTCTGACCGATATTCTCGTTTATTCATTCAATTTTATTTTCAGGGCTCTTTGGTCTTTTGGAGCTTGAGCTTTGGATTTCCACTTGCCTGGCTATTTGCTTTTGACAGAGAAATCCTATGGCTTTCGTTGTTTCTAATCATGGCAGGAGCATGGTCAATATACGCTACACTTGGTTTCTCCTACGCAAGTTACTACAAGGATATACTAGTCCTAGAAGAACACAACTCCAGTAAGTATTGAACTTCTTCAGTACTTTCAACAGTTTATAGCCATTGAGGGTCGGTCCCGCCTTTTGAAATAGGAAAATATGCATTTTGCGGACCTCCAGAAGTATGCGCACCAAGATGGCGCACAACCTGAACATAGTATGTGTGTACCGGTCAGGATTTCGACTCTCAAGATTATCGAAAACTCACTATTTCCGGACCTGCTAGCTGTTATGAGAGATCAATAACCTTACTCCATGAGCGAGTGTGTGTAACATTGTTTTGAGCATAATATTTCCTCAGAAAAATTTATTTCCAATTTATGTATTTATGATAAAAGATTTCTCTGGGAAGAACTACCTGGTTAGGAAATATGGCTGTAAACTCTTTGATTATTTGGGCATCTGTATGACATGTGTCACATATGGAACCAGTAGTCTGGAAATATGGGACGAAGGATGAGCATTTCATTAAATGTCACCACAACATATCCTATCTATCTTGTTACTTCTGTAGTATGGGAACCAAGATGGCGGACACCGGAAGGTAGTATGTGTAACCCATCATTTTAGGTACAAATACTACAAGTCACTTGGCTAGTCCCCGAACTCATAATCGAACTAAAATATGAAAAATTGGGATAATAAATTATGTCTTAACCCTAACCTGGTACACTTACTATGTTCAGGTGTCCGTCATCTTGGTGCACATACTACGGTAGTACCCCTATTTTTTTTCCTGCTATTTTTATCATTTCAACATATTTATTGAATTTTCATTTTCAGCAATGCTGTGGCTTGTCCGAATCATTTTTCACAACGGACTTGGGATCTTCGCCACCTGGCTAACGATTGGTTGGAAACTTACTCTACAAACGACAATTGCTTATAAGGATGGCGCAGGGGATCAGTACCCTGCGGATTTTAGAGGTGATTTCGTACTGTGTAATAGTTTCAAGTTAAGCTTAACTGTAGTGTTTTTTGAAATGTGTCCTGCGCAGTGTTCCATAAAACAGGGATTGAAATTACGACCAACATGGTCATTATGGCAACCGCAGTTACCAACAAACAGGCGGACTTGCTTTCAAAATATGCGGAAATTTCCATAGGTTGAAAAAGTTTGAATGCCTTGCCCCCACCCAAAAATGTTGAACTAGAAAAATTCCTTCCAGTGGGTCCCCAGCTTATGTACCCCAGTCAAAACCCTCTCTTTTTAAAATATAAAAATAAGCATTTTCCTGTATCATATATAGCAATATTACGCATTATGAAATGGTTTTAGAAACCTCGAGACTTTTGAAACCCCACATTTTCCATCCTCTGATCATACCCGCTATCGGTCACGGTCTAAAGTGGCAATCAGAAATTTCAAACCCCCCTCTTTCTCTACGCCCCTGATCAAAGCTTGAGCGTTTTTTCAGAGCCTTAAGACGCTTTAAAAGCGAACTTTTCCGCTAGATGTTACAGTCCAACCTGGCAATTAGAAATTTCCGAACCCCATCTCCCTTTAAAATTTCTGACTACACCCCCTGGATCATGAAAAGAAATAATACTTTTAATTCTAATTTGATTAATTTAATTCTACAGGTTCTCTGACACCGGAAGATGCCGGGACCATTTCTTTTTCGATTTTACTATTTGAAATTATGTTATGGTTCGTACTTGAAAACTTTGTTTTCGAGCCGTATTGTCGCTACACAGTTACTATCTACCCGACGCTAATTTTTGCGTTAAGTTCAACGTTTTCAAATGACTACGTCGTCCCGTACAGCAGGAATTTGATTATTACTTTAGTCGGTTTGATTTTGTCGATTTTAGCTTTTATAGCGAGAGTAGTACTAGTGTACTTTAGACATAAAAATCGTCCTCAAATGGAAAATTTTAGAAGCAAAAGAGAAGAGGTTGTAGAAATGGAGAATATTTAGGAAATGATATGAATTACATATTTATCCTGTGGGAGAGGAAAAGCCGATAAGACGGCTTAATAATATGGCAAACTGCGGGCTCTTGTCCGGTTACCAGCAGTTAGTTACGTGAACCACCCTACGGCAGTGTGAAGTTCAGCTATTCTCTTGCACATATCGTAATTATCCCACGCAGGATTCTAACCTCCGTACCCACGCAAGCTAATAAACGGTAATCAGAGGTTTGATGACGAACCTTTTAAGACTTCGTCGCCACATCACCGAGAAGTGTGTTATAATTGAGGCAATAAGCTGAGCCCAATAAAAAAAAATTTCCACCATCTTCTTTTAAATTAATATCTTGTATTTGTGTAGAATATTTTGATAACTCCAAATTTTATAATTTTTTACTTGACATTGTATTGTTTTTGTTCCTCAAAGTTATCTACATATTGCAGTATCTTTAACTGATTTAATGTGCAAACTTTTAATATCTTGAAAAGTAATCCTTAATAATCATGCCATTGTTGCCAAGATAGCAAGTTGCCAATTTTTTTTATTTTTTATATATTTTTTGTTTTCATATATAGGATTTTTTTTTGCCAAGATTTGCCAAATTTTGTTATTTTTTTAGGAACAGTTCAGGTTTTGATAAATTTATTAATAAGAACAAAACATGTAATAATTTATGTCTTTTGAGTTCTATTACAGTTCCTTCACGCCTGTATGAAAAGGCTAAAATTTGTGAAAAAGTTGAGATTCATGTTTTCTGTTTTATTTGGGTTTTTATATTTTTTTTTTTTTTTTTTATATAGGAAATAGGCTAATTTTTGTAATAATGAGATAAGAAGTATCTCTGATCAATTATCTCTTTAAAACATTTATTTTACCTTTTATATTGCATATAGTTTGTCATATTTTTATTTCTTTTAAATTCTTTCCCATTTTTTCAAATTTTAAGCAAAATATTGTGGATTAAAGATGTTTTTAATTCTTGGATATTGCTTATGTTATTTTTATTGCAAGGCTGTTCCCATTTGCCTGAATTTTTAACAAAATTTTAGAATCCGGTAGTTTTTGTTTCAGAACTATATTACTTATGGTGTTCAACTTATTTTTATTGCAAAAGTGTTCTGGATTTCTAACACAATTTTTAATCAAATCACTTTTTATGAATTCATAATTTTGCAAATTTTTTCAATATGTGGTGTCCAATTTTCCCCTATTTTAAGAGTTCCCAATTGTTCGAATTAAACACAATTCTTGGAAGAATGACTTTTTAAAACATATTGGAGTGAGACTTTGAGGATTAAATTTGAGAGGAATTTTTTTTTATATGTGATGTCCAATTTCCCCCTTTTTTCCAATTGTTTGAATTAAACACAATTCTTGGAAAAATGATTTTTTAAAACAGATATACAAATATTACAAAATAATACAAACTATTCCTTTAAAACTAATGTGTGGGCAAAAACATATGACATATTTATCTTTTTCAACATGTCGAATGTTCGATTTGTTGTGAATTTACCACAATTTTTAAACAAATTACATTTTATGAATTCATGAATTTTGTAAATCTTTTCAATATGTGGTGTCCAAATTTCCTTTTTCTTAAGTGTTCCCAATTGTTCGAAATAAACACAATTCTTGGAAGAATGACTTTCTAAAACATATGGGAATAAGACTTTGAGGGTTGAAATCCCCATTTTTTCCAATTGGACCACTACCTGTTACGATTTAAGTTGACAATTTTAAGATCCCCTGTTTCAAAATTCTTGGCTAAGGCCATGCCGACACTAGTATAATATTTCACTGCCATCCCTATTTTGTCTTGCATGCTTTTATGCGATTTATAAAAAATTCAAAAAAATATTCGTTAAAATTAATGTATGGACATATTCATCTTTTTCAACATGTCAAATGTTCCCTATTTTTTTCCTATTCCTATTTGTTCATATTCCAAAAATTTGACAAAATTATGTTTTTATTTTTGCAAAAAATATACCTCATCTGTCACATTCAAGCCACCATTGATCAAAGACTCTCGGCATCTTAGTGCATTGAATTTGAAATAATGCTTTTTTACTCAAAATAATATGTGAATAATAGTTATTTTTCCTGCCGTGTTGGCAAGAACTTCATGTCATAATTATCTTTTCAAACATGCTTGATGTTTCCGATTGCATCTTTCTACAAATTTTCTCAATTTGCTAAACAGTACATTTTTTACACATATTAATATTTAAAATTAGTATTACGGTATATCTTTCCCTTATTGGCAAAAACCTATGTCACAACTACCTATTCAAACATACATAATGTTTCCAATTTATTATCTTGTCTCCTTTTATCAATATATCAATTAACCCAAAATTTAACAATACATTCTTTTATACAGAATAATACTTAAAACTAGTTGTTTTTTTCTCCTGTGTTGGCAAACATAATTACCAATCGAACATGTCAAAGTTCCGATTTATTGTCTTGCATCCTTTCATCAATTTTTAAAAAAATTCAATAATGCATTTTTTACACAGAATACTATTTAAAAATAGTACTATATACGAGGTGTGGCTAAAAAGAAACGAGACTGACGTCACAGATTGCGCAACACGATTAACCATTGGTAATCAACACTTTTACAGTGTGGTGTAATATGTGTTCTTTGTTCAACAGCTTTTTTGACACAATATCGCAATTATTTTTGCTCTTTAGGAGCCATAGGTGAATGTGATTAATTGCTTGTTGAAAAAAAAATTGCCGTGCGAGATCTGATTGATTTTTTGGCGATAGGGGGTTCAATTGCAGAATGACGATTGAGCAATGAATTAACATAAAATTTTGTGTCAAACTTGGAAAAACGGCGACTGCGACTTTGAAGAAATTGTGTGATGTTTATGGAGATTCTTCCATGTCCAGAACAAGAGTTTTTGAATGGCACAAGCGATTTGTGGGATGCAGGGAGGATGTGGAGGATGATTCGAAGTCAGGAAGGCCTTGCACTTCCACAACTGATACCAACATCGAAAAGGTATCAGTTGTGAGTTCAGTTGTGAAAGGCAGTTGATTCGCAGCGACCTTCGCTCAACAATTCGCGTCATTGCGAAGTTGGAAAAGACAAAAAAAAAACGGTTTGCACCAGTTTGGTTGACACTTTTGGCTTGTGAAAGGTGAGTGCCAAAATGGTGCCAAGGCTGTTGACTGAGGAGCAGAAAGCTCAACGATTAAATGTTGCCCAGTTGACATGCATTTTTCCAAGTTTGACACAAAATTTAATGTTAACTCTTTGCCCAATCGTCATTCTGCAATTGAACCCCCTATCGCCAAAAAACTCAATCAGATCTCGCACGGCAATTTTTTTTTCAACAAGCAATTAATCACATTCACCTACGACTCCTAAAGAGCAAAAATAATTGCGATATTGTGTCAAAAAAGCTGTTGAACAAAGAACACATATTACACCACACTGTAAAAGTGTTGATTACCAATGGTTAATCGTGTTGCGCAATCTGTGACGTCAGTCTCGTTTCTTTTTAGCCACACCTCGTATCTCCCGTGTTGGCAAAAACCTATGGCACAATTACCCATTTAAACATGTACATTTCCAATTTATTGTTTTGCATACTTTTATGAATTGATCAATTGACCAAATTTTTTTTACATTTTCCATACAGAATAATATTTAAAACTATTTCTCTTACCATCCTGTATTGTCAAAATAATTCCAACAAAATGAAAGAATTTTCTCCCGTAGTGAAGATCACGTTCACCATTATTGGATTTATGGTCTTCGCTGTCTCGTTCGTTTTCGCATTTTTAAACAATGTACCGACTGGCTTCCAGGACGGGAACTCAACTAAAAATGGTGCCTCGAGTAAGTAGTTAGATAGAAAATATTTGGTGCACCAGGGGTATGCGCACAAAAATGGCGCACAACCTAAACATAGTTCGTGTGTACCGGTTAGGATTCAGGTTGCGCGACATCTTGATGCGCATACTCCTGGAGCACCAAATATTTATTTCCGAATATTTCATTACATACAGGGTGTCTCAAAAGTAAGTATTCACTTTTATTTCAATTTGCTTCTTGCAACGTGAACCACCCTACAGCAGGCACCCTTTGTCTAGCAATTCTCTTACATATAATTCTTCCAAATCGGATTCACACCTGCAAATCAAAGCATGGTAATCAGAGATGCAAGAGAGGTACTAATGCTTATGTCAAATTATAACTTATAAGTTATGCGAATCAGTTCACACAAAAATTTCGAATCGCCTCTATCTTGCTTCTTTTTGTTACCTGTAGGTCAAGTCGTATCCCTTAATTTTTTTTGAAGCCGTATTTTTGAAATACATTTCCGACATATGACTCTTTTCTTTCTGGTTATTTATTACCGTAATGAACATGCTTCTTATTGTGTGTGAACACTCAGCGAACGTGTGATGGATTCTATGTTTTGAGTAATATATGTGTCTGGAGGACCCGTTACCGTAAGAACATCACATACAATTACATCTTATCTTTTAAGTATTTAAGATTCGATTGAAAAAATATATTCAATTTGATTCTGGTATCATGTGGGAAAATAACCAGCACTAATGCTTACATAATATGCCTATCATGCTTCCCCGGCATTCATTGCCGTCTCATCAAACTAATCTCACTTCTCAGATATATTCATCAACACTGTCACTGACCTGAATGCTCGTTACCCATCTTCGTTTGGTCCGGCAGATTTTGTTTTCATCATCATTTGGCCATTGATTTATTTGTGGAACACAGTTGGAATTATATATATGCTGGCGTCACTCTTTTTTACGAAGAAAAAGAGCCCTATTCTGAGAGAACCAGCAATGTTCCCTGTGGTAAGATTTTGTTCTGTGTTTATTTTTTCCCAGAGCGAGGCTTTGAGTGGGTAACTACTTGAATAAAATTGCACGTAGGTGGAAACCCATGGCTCTAACCCTTGACCCCAGATAGATTCTACCTATATTTTGTCATTGCCAAATTTTCCATTTCATTTTGAAAGTGTTTTCTGGACTTGGCAATTACAAACTGGCTTACATAGAAGAGACTAGAATATACATATTTATGCTGGGGGAGAGAAAAGCCGATAAGACGGCTTAATCATATGGTGAACCACGGCATTCCGTCCGGTTACCAGTCAATGTCCGGTATGTGATTTGTTAGCCAGTAATTTGTTTTGGGAAACATGGACTTGATGGTGGAGGAAGCCATAACCAACCAGCGGTTACGTGAACCATCCTATAGGAGCGAGGAGTCGAGCTATCCTTTCGCACATGACCCAGCCTGAGATTCAAACCTGCGAACCCATGCGGGGTAATTGAAGGTACGGTGGCGAGCGTATTCCTAACACTTAGCACGATGTGCCACAGTGTTTTGCAAGCATTTACTGACTGTGCTGCTGATAGTCAACTAATATTGCAACTCTGTTTTCCAGTTCTCTCTCATCTTCTGGAGTCTAAGCTGGGGTTGTTCCATGGGTTGGCTATTTGCTTACGACAGAGAAATCCTATGGTTGTCTATGTTCCTGATTCTGGCATCTGCTTTATCAACGTACGCTACGTTGGGATTTTCATACGCCAGCTATTACAAGGATACTATGATTCTGGAAGAGCACGACTCAAGTGAGTACAGTTACTGAATACAAAAGTTTGCCTATTTAGATAATGGCTTGTGTTGTTTACCTTTGAGTGAGTGAATGTTACTTTTCTCAGAGATATTTTCGTTTACTTTTGGATGAGTACCCATAACTTTGCTAAAAGATAGATCTCGTTTACTTCTAAGTGGGTGTGGATTTGCTCAGAAGTGAGTCTTCTTTACTTAGGATTTAGGGGGATTTACATATTTATCCCGGGGGAGAGGAAAGCCGATAAGACGGCTTATCCATATGGCGAACCACGTCCTCTCGTCCGGTTACCATTCCAAGTCGGGTATGGGATTAGTTATATTGTTTTGTTTTCGGAAGCATGGACTTGGTGGTGGAGGAAGCCGTAACCGACCAGCGGTTACGTGAACCACCCAACGACGGCGAGGAGTCCAGCAATCCTCTCGCACATAATCATTCCTGCATGAGATTCGAACCTGCGAACCCACGCAGAGTAATTAGAGGTGCGGTGGTGAGCGTATTCCTAACGCTTAGCCCGTTGAGCCACACCGCCGCGCCTTCTGACTGATTGGCTGTAACGTTGCTTAAAAATGAGTTTCATTTACTTTTGAGTGATTGCCTGTAATTTTGCTCAGAGATGAGTTTCATTTACTTTTGAGTGAGTGCCTGTAATTTTGCTCAGAGATGAGTCTCCTTCACTTTCGAGTGAGTATCCGTAACGTTGTTAAGAGATGAGTCTTCTTTACTTCTGAATTTATAAGTGCATGTAACTCTGCTAAGAAATTTGAGTCTCATTTCATTCTGAGTTAGTGTAGCTCTTGGCATTTTACAGTCTTTCCATTATGGCTCATTTTATTTCATTTAATGTGTGTGACCCCTTGTTTAAGCAAATTCCTTTCAAATAGAAAGTGCACTGCCATGATTCTGCATAGTTTTAGTACATTTTGGCATTCCAGTGGTCACCTGTTAGATTAGCTCAGAGATGAGTCTTCTTTGAATCTGAGGAGTGCCTGAAAATTTGCCCCAACATGATTCTCTTTTACTTCTGGGTGTGACTTCGCCTTAGCATTTTCTTTTAAAATATAAAAAGCATAACAAACTTTTATTTTTTCAGGAATGTTGTGGCTTGTCCGCATCATAATTCATAATGGGTATGCAATCTTGGCTGCATGGTTAACGGTAGCTTGGAAAGTGATGCTACACACAGTCATTGCATATGAAGATAGCCGAGGAACTGACAACTATCCCGCTAATTTAAGAAGTAAGTAAGAACTAAGAATGCATAACTAAACAGCTTCTGTATTCTGTAAGCTATCTATTCTGGATGAATCGTAATGGTTGTTCCTGTTGTCTAATCTATTTCAAATTTATTGTTGTGTTGTTTTCCCATGATTGTGTGATTGGAGATAATTTTTTCATCAGATTGCTTCATTGCTATATTTGCTGCTATATTACAGCATTTGGTATCGTTGACTGGATGACTCACTGAGTCTTTCGCGATCTCACGTTAATTGCTATGAATCGATGTTTCCCGTTCTTTAGTTTGCTATGTTTTTCTTTTTATTTGAATTGATTCTTGCATGACGAAAATAAATCTCTGAATAACAGGGTTTTTCGAGCTAGACCCGCGACCCCATTAGGGGGTCATGCAGCGTTTCTTTCGGGCTCAAATAAAGTTCTACTAGGTACTCTAGGTCTCATTTGCGATGACAATGTTAATTTCAAATAAATTAATTTGCAGGGGCGTAGCCATGAATTGCAAAATGTGGCGGTTCCGAAATTTATGACACTATTACACTGTACTAGCCAGCATGTCCGGCCGTAGGTCGTAAATTGCGGCTTTTTAAAGTCTTGTGGCTAGGGTTGCCACTTCTGAATACATTTTTTTTTTCGAATCGAATCTCGAATCAAAAGTTTTCGAATCGAATCTTTCCGAATCTGATTCTATTAAGCCTTTTTTTATTGCATGCGTATGTTTGCTTAAAGCCACAAAAAAGCTTAAGTCTGGAACGACTAGAAGAGAAAAACTTAAAAATGGAATATGCAATATAGCAAGGATGATAAGGGGTTTTCAGTGTATAAGCCACACTCATTTCCATCATGATAAAAAAAGATGTAGGTCATAGATATCACCAGTGTTCCCTCTAAGGTGTGCGCGTGTGCGCGCGCACACAGCTTTCAGAGGCTGCGCACACGCATAGATTTACTGCGCACAGACGTATTTCGATGTAATGTAACAATGTGCTCAGTTGGCAGGTTGCGAAAGTTTGTTGTTGGCCCACTTATTACCCCATTAAAACGCCAAAATTTCTTCATTGGTTTTTGCACAAATATTAGTCATTTCCAAAAAAGTGCGCACACACCAAAATTTCTGCGCACACATACTACAAAAAATTAGAGGGAACATTGGATATCACCGATAAATGCATTGATGAAAAACTTGGCATCCCTACTTGTGGTCCAAAACACACCTATGCTTGCAAGTTTGAATGTCGTGCAGACTATGGTTCGTCATATGATTAAGTCGTCTTATCGGCATTTCTTTTATCCGAGATCAATAAATAAATAACAATCTTATTTTAACAGGTTCTCTTACTGTGGAAGACGCTGGAACTATTGCGCTCTCTATACTTCTTGTCGAACTAATCGTTTGGTTCGTTCTTGAAAACTTCGTTTTTGAACCGTATTGCCGATACACTCTCAGTATCTACCCTGCGCTTATCTTCGCATTGAGTGGGACCTTCTCAAATGACTACGTCGTGCCGTTCAGCAGAAATCTGATCTTAACCCTTGTTGGCCTGATTTTCGTGATTATAGCATTCGTTGTGAGAGTAGTGCTCGTATACATCAGGCATAAAAATCGACCACGTCTGGATAAATACAGGAGTCAAGAAGAGATCATTAAAATGGACAAAATGTAAACCCATTTATAAATGCAAGAAGAATCTGTTAGTTCAGTATTCCCCCTGCCTTTTTTTGTTACATTCCCGGATTTACCTATTTCGAAACTATAATTCTGTTCTCACTTAAACTCAATTTGTGTTCAATTTTTTATCGAATATCAGCTAGTAATTCGTGCAACTTGCACTGTTTTGAACAGTTTCAATCAAGAGCAACAAAGGTGTCAAAATTAAATCTCACTGCAAATGCTGCAAAATGGCATTAAAAATAAAATGTTTAATATTTCGATACTTGTACCATCAGGTTCTCCCTGGCTATGTCTATGGTTTGAATATAATGTGTGCATGGATATGCATTACAATTATGCCACATAAGTCATGAATATTAGTAATACTTTGATACATTTAAATTTGTCCTTCGGTACTACTTTGTTTTTTTTACTGTTGTAAAATCAACTTTCTTATATTTATCTGGTCTATCTTGATATGTGATTACTTCACTGTATCTACGTTTTAACGTGGAATATTCCTCAATGCCTTTTTTGAAAATATTGTGTCAAATTTTTGGTAACTAAATATGGAAGTGTCTACTAAATCACCGCTTTTTCTTGTTGTTGTTGATTCACGAAATTGTCCCAAGTTTTTACATCTGAATCATATAACTGGTAAATTATTATTACTCTTGACATGGACTGGTAATCTGGTTTTGCATATGACCAAGTTGCCTTATCAACTTTCCTCTCTTCAAGATATAATAATAAATGAAAACCCTATTTTATCCTAAACTTTGCTAAATAAACCTGTTTTCGCTAGTAATTGCGCATGGCTTCCTCCACTATCAAGTCTGAAACAAATAAAAGGCTACCTGATCCCATAACCGACATGGAATGGTAACCGGATGAGAGGACGTGGTGTGCCATATTATTGAGCCATCTTACCAGCTTTCCCCTCTCCTCTAGGAATAAATGAAATCGCTCTTCGTTCCTAAATTTTGCTAATTATATTATGCTTTGCTTACTGTACCTGCAGTTTATTATCAAATTCATATATTTTTGTGTAATCAAAATGCAATTTCTTCAATTATTATAAACCGGTGCTTCATTTTTGAATCTTAAGCGCTCTAGTCTACTTCAGTACTGTTCTAACCATCCCAACATTATTATTCATTCATGCATGACTGTTCGAAGTGGTCTCACCCTAACAGTCAAGTTCATATGCCGCCAATTTTCACTGTCCCCGCCGCACGATTAAGAATCATTGATTCGCGACAGGTCAATACAGCCTTTTGGAACCATGTAGTGTTAAAGTTGTTGTATTAAGCAATTCCCAATACGACAGAAAATCAAAACTTCATGTCAAAGAAGCCTGTGAGGGGGGGGGGGGGAGGGCGAAGGTGGAAAAACTAGATTAGGTTGTGTTAAATTGTAGTTTACACCTAAATTCTGTAAATTTGCTCTCATTATTATCAATTTCTCATTCAATGACTTTTTTTTAATTGCCTAATAGTTGTGTAATTTCATAATAAATCGCAAATTTTTACTCATTTTACCAATATAATTTTTTATGAATTCAAATTTTTTTGCAGATTTCCTGTAATAATTAAAACAATAGCTAGTCTGATTTTATATACTGTGTTTCTTTCACCATCTTTCTCGTGTAGATTTTATGATGAAACAGTAACTAGTTACTTTTAAAATCGAATCGCAAGTTTATACTCGTTTTTTTTCCATTCCCTAAATTTGATGTCGGATAATATTAGAATAGCATTTAATTACCTGTAAATCGAGTGTTTTAAATTAAAGGCAAATTTTACTCATTATGCTTTGATGATTTTTTATAAATCGAATTTTTTTGCTGATTTTTTATAATAATTAGAATAAGCTTTCAAGAACAGAGCACAGAAATTAGCAAATCAAAAATTAGCATCTATTATATATAATTCCTCATTATTCCAAATTTTTTTTCAGATATCTCAAATAAAACTTTTAAAACAGATATTAAAATATTACCTAGTTACCAGCACTCTACATCATCCTGGGACCATAAAAATGAAAGCCCTGACTTCGCGGGCGGTGAAAATTGCGTTCACTGTCATTGCATTTGTAGTGTTTGCGATCTCATTTGTGTTTTCATTTCTGGGGAACGTGCCCGTTGGAGTGGAAAAAGGAAATGCAACTCTAAATGCAGCAACTGGTGAGTGATATCTTTTCTTGGTACTTCCGTAGTATGTGTACCAGGTTTGGGTTAGGCCATAATTTCATTCTTATTTTATTTATTTTAGTTCTTTCACGAGTTCGAGGACTGTTTGTATTAGCCAAGTGAATATACCCCCCGTCCATACGTTTCAGTCCCTTTACACAACTTGATGTAAAGTAGGCGAACAAAATTAGTTAACTCCATATTGGTACACATACTTCTGGAGTTTCTCTTTTTTCTAATTGGTAAACTGACACACGTATTTCTGCGTGTTTCAAACATAATTAGAGATTATCTCGATCTTTTGTGTGTTCATAGTTTTGTTCTGTGTATGCTTTTTCGATGGAATCAGTATAGGGATTCAATAGTCTTGCTGCACACGAACACAAAGATATCTCTGTAACATTTCGTCTGGTCAAATTAAGACTTCCCCAGACATACGGAGTTCGCTACTGTCTGTCTGAAGAAGTCTGATGTCGGTTAGACGAAATGTTACAGAAATACATTTGTGTTAGTGTGCAGCAGGACTCTTGAATTGCATATTATGGTATTTTTACTCCTGCTACAGCATACTTGCATTATATGCATACGATTTCACTAGCGCAAAGGTATTGAGGAAGGATTGGGAGTAAGTGTGGCATAACCTCTAATGATAGATACAATATTTCGATCTGCAATTTCCTCTTATTTTTGTTTAGACATCTTCATTAATACAATTCCGGATCTCGCAACCCGATATCCAACTGCAATCCAGCCAGCACCATGGGTGTTTGTTGTCATATGGCCGATAATTTTTTTATGGAATACCGTTGGGATTTTCTATTTGTTGGCTTCGTTGTGTTTGCCGAAGGATCGGAGCCCGATTTTGAGAGAGCCATCAATGTTTCCTGTTGTAAGTATAGCGATAAGATTTTTATAATAAGGATCAGAGAAGATGATATAGTGGCTTAACCATATGACGAACCACGGCCTCTCGTCCGGTTACCATTCCATGTCGCGTATGGGATTAGTTAGCCAGTTATTTGTTTTCAGAAGCATGGACTTGATGGTGGAGGAAGCCGTAGCCTTCCACAGACAAGCGTTCACTATCACTATTACTAGTCTATTACTCCTCACGCACATAACTATCCTGCATAGAATTTGAACCTGCGTACCCGCTAAATAATCAGAGTTGTGGTGGCAAGCGTATTCTTAACGCTTAGCACGATGCACCACACCACATAAGCATAGTATCTTCACACATACACATGTGCTTGATTAGAGCCTGTTTATAAAATCTCTAAAACTTTCAATCATTTTCAGGAATCTCTAATTTTCTGGTGTCTAAGTTGGGGTTGTTCTATGGGATGGATATTTGCTTTCGACAGAGAACTATTGGGTCTGTCAATGTTTCTAATCCTGGTAGCCGCGTGGTCAACGTATGCCACGTTGGGTCTCTCCTACAGGAGTTACTACTCAGATATTCTCATCTTGGAAGAACATAGTCATAGTAAGTAGTGAAATAATTTTATTGTTTATGTACGCAAGTTTGCAATACCGGTGAGTTAAAATATCTCACTTAGGATAGGATTTGCATATTTATTCTGGAGGAGGGGAAAGGCAATAAGACGACTTAATCATATGGCGAACCACGGCGTCTCGTCCGATTACCAGCCCATGTCGGGTATGGAATTAGTTACCCAGTTATTTGTTTCAGAAACACGAACTTGATGGTGGAGAAATCTAGAAAAGATATAGGATCTCATTCTATTTATCCCATTCTGTTAGACTTCGCCAAGGGTGCCGCTCGGTAACCAGTATTGGTTTTCGGCGATTTCTTTCACCCTGAAATGCGATTTTTTATATTTCCTTTAATTTGTGTATGTATAGCTCATATTTTAAGTATGGTGAAGAAATAAATTACCGATTGATTGTACGCCACTACTGACAGGCCAAAAACAATATGTTAGTTCTTTTACTAGCTTAAAAGATCTTGGTCCTTTAGCTGAAAATTGGAAGAGTGGGGAGGACTTGCTAACAGCTTGGGCGAAGATTGCCATGATTAAGTTTGACTGTATAGACTTGACTTGGGCAAACCACGGCCTGCGGGCAAAACCCGCCCGTGGGTAATTCAATCTGGCCCGCCTGATGCCGCCAAAACCAAATTTTGATGTTTTAGCTGAAAATAACTCAAGAAATTTGATTGAGGATAAGATTGCGGTTAAATTTAGTTTTGGCAGGATGCTTATTGTTCTCCACCTTTGCTTTGTAACACTGCAAATATTGCCACGGTAATTCAATCTGGCCCGCCTGATGCCGCCAAAACCAAATGTCGATGTTTTAGCTGGAAATAACTCAAGTAATTTGTTGAGATTGCGGTTAAATTTAGTTTTGGCAGGATGCTTATTGTTTTATACCTTTGCTTTGTAACACTGCAAATATTGTTCATAAAATGTAACTTTTTACGTCACACTTACATGGCCCGCCAGTCTAAATGGGCTAAATTTTTGGCCCCTGGTTCAAAAACCTTGCCCCCCCTCTGGGGTATAGACATTCAAAATATTGGCTGAGCTCATATCGTTTGCTTTTCGAAAGTTCATAATGAACCTGGTAGCAATCTCTCACGCTTAAGCATATTAGAAAGTATACAGTATGTATGGAATCTGAGCGGCCTTAACTGTTGCATGGCCAATGTGTGTAGAGGGGAATAATGAACAAAACTTAATTTGCTCTTATTTACCTTCAATCTCAATCACAATCAACTTTTTTTCACGAGTCTTTTTTATACCGAATAAACGCACATGCATGATTACATTTTATAATAATCAACACCTAGAATTAGCGCCCACGGTGGCAGTGTTGGTTGTAGCGGCCAAAGAGCGTCTTTGTGTTGAACTATTAATATTTTTCAGAGATGCTCCTGTTGGTTCGTATCATTATCCATAACGGATTTGCCATTCTGGCTGCTTGGCTGACGTGTGCTTGGAAGATAACTCTCGCTACTACAATTACTTACAAGGATAGCTCACCATCTGACGAGATTCCCGCTGCACTTAATGGTATGCTTTGTTTTCTTTATGCCAGGGGGTGTGTAACCTTTAATGCTGAAGGGCCAGACACAAGATACCTGGGTGAAACCACTGGCAGCACCTTTATTTAACATAGGCTTTCTATGAGTCTATGAGTTCTTATGAAATGAATTGTTTGCTCAGCACAAACTTGCTAGCTGTTAGGTCATTGTGACATCATTGGACTTAGTAAAAGGGTTTGCAACACAAAGGGATTGGACTTAGCGCACATACCAGAATGGACTTAATCAAAAGCTTGTTTCACCGTCCACACACTATTCAAAATTGGCATTTCTGCATGGGTCGCACAATTTCTCTTTGTGGTTGCATTTGGCCCGGAGGCCGCAGGTTACGCACCCTTGTTTCATGCTATGACAATGGTTTTCAACAGGGGTTCCATGGCACCCTAAGGTTTCGCCAGTACAGCCCAGGAGTTGAAATTCACCGGTTTAGAGTGTAACAAGTTTTCAGAAATATAGTACTCACCCAATCATCATTGCCTTTTTGTGTTATCCACCTCCCCCTCCTCCCCAAATGAAAAAATTATAACCCCTTATTAAAACCTGATCATACTTTATCTTAATTCTACCAGGGTCAATTACATCAGAAGATGCCGGTACAATCGGGCTCTCAATTCTACTTTTCGAACTTGTGTTATGGTTTGTCTTGGAGAACTTCGTTTTCGAGCCGTATTGTCGTTACACGCTATCGATCTATCCAACTCTTATATTTGCTCTAAGCGGTGTTTTTTCACAAAATTATGTCTCCCCTTTCTCCAGGAATCTCGCCATTACTCTCGCAGCCTTAATTTTGGCGATTATTGCTTTTATTGCACGACTCGTGCTTGTTATTTATAGGCATAGACACAGGACCCGATATGCTTGAAGTGATTTGCAGAGCTAGAAATGAACCTTGGCCTGTTATCTACAGGCATAGTTTTAGGACTCGATATGCTTCAAGTAATTTGCTGAGCTCATTTTTTTTTTTATCTTGGTATTACCCTTGTTGCCTCTAACTACACATACTAACATTATATATATACATTACATTACTTATATTATATATATTGCTTATACTTCATATTGCAATAGTTTTTCATTTATATCTTTTCCATTTTGCATACCATCTTTATATTGTTCCACACTAATTTTATGATCTGATCTGCTTAAGTAAGATTGATTTTGGGTTCTCCCGTAGTATGTGCAACAAGATGGCGGACACCGAAACGTAGTATGTGTATCAGATTCGGGTTAGGGTATAATTTCAGGTACAAATACTACGGGAGTCACTTGGCTTGTCCCTAAACTCGTAATAGATCTAAAATATGAAAAATTGGAATCAAATTATGGCCTAACCCTAACTTAGTACACATACTATGTTGCATGTACTATGGGAGAGCCTGATTTTGTTAAGAGCCAATGCCCCATGGGTATGGGAACGCTGGTATTTTGGGGTGAAACAGAGTGGGGCGGTTGCGTACCCAGGATTTTGTTAAGGGGCCAATGCCCCATGGGTACGGAGACGCTGGTGTGTTGGGATGAAACAGTATGGTTAGTTTGTATCTTACCCTTGTATTTTTTATTATTGCTATACATTTTTTTTTATTGCCTTTTTATGCTAACTAATTGACTACACATACCAACATTGTCTATATTGTTTATATATTGTCTATATTTACAATTTTTGTATTTAAATATATTGCGTATATTACAGCTAACTTTCCTACCATAACAAGTGACAGCGTATAAGAATCCTTGATATTAATATTTTTCATTCACTTTGATTATTTTTTATACATTTTTCTCAATTGTTCCTTGCAAACCATACCCGTACCTACAACTAACCTCATACCAGTGCCAAGCTATGTCCTGCCACTATATACCGGGTGTCCAGAAAATTACGCCCGATTTTATAGTAATACAGGGTGTCAGTTAGTTCTCAATATATCTTAACCAGGTTTGTTATTTTTTAATCAGTAATTGTTCAAGTATTTTTATTTCATATAATACATAAACAAAAACAATATATGGTATCGATAAATCCCCTTCGCAATTTTGAAAAATTTCAAGTCTCTATGGACAACCTATATAACAGTTGAAAATTTCTTTGTCCTTGTTTATCAATAGTTCATATTGTGATTGTAGTTATCATTTATCATGCAATAAAATTCATTTAAACTCACAATTGCTATTACTATGAAATTAGGATTTTTAATTGTTATTAACATAATATCAGGCAAAATTTTTTGGATGCTATATTTTACTTTCATACGATATTTTTCACAGAATTTAATTAGATATTTAAACGAAATATTGATTAATCTTCATTCTTCATCAAAGATGGAGAGTTCCACGCTCAAGTATGCAATGACTATCCTAGCATTTGTGGTGTATATAGTTTCACTCATATTCTCCTACCTTAATTCACTGTCTGGAATGGGTGGGAATAAAAACGAGACAAATGAGACTGCATTGGGAGGTAAGTAATATGTCCTGTCCTGTTTATGTCAATCAATCGTCATTTATCCGTCAGCACAAATAAAACGTATCATGAGAAAAATACGGATCAAACACAATAGGAATCTAACTTAAGTGGTGTGACAGGAGTCGCGGGGGACCTCATAAGGTCTTCAGGCAGCGACACCTAAAAAGTTCGCTCATTCTGGTTTGTGAGCACAAATTGGTAATGAAACACCAAGACACTTATTTTTAAAAAAAAGCAGCCTTTTTGGAAAACAAAATATTACCAAATATGGTTCATGAGTGGTTTGTAAAAACAAAACATTTCAGTTATGAGCATGTTTTTTAAAATCCGCGACCAACGATGCAACTTACTGGTAATGCACTGTATAAATCATCATCACAGGCCAATCAATCAAATGTTGGAAGCTGTTTTTGAATCGGGAAATTCCCCGTCTGTCTGCGATCTGATTGCTCTTGAAGATAATCTCTAGAAATATATGTTAGTTATATAATTCGGCGAAATGATACGGTGCTCATCGACAATAACGTTAGTTTCGTAAATAAACTTCCCAATCTGTTTCTTATTAGATATTAGAACCTTGTGTGTCGCTCCTCGATAACCAGATTTGGTTTCTCGCAACTTCCCTTCCTGGGTAAAATTCTATGATAATCTCTCTATTTCTGAATTTTTTATGCGATTGTTTTTTGCTGGTTGGAAAAAATAAACTTGACTTAACTTGGAATAAATTGGACTGCGTGAATGTGATGCTATTTAAAACAAAAATACAACTTTTAAAAAACCTATTTTCATCTAAAAATTCAGTTTTTAAACTTTATTTTAAGGGTTATATCTCAACACAATTAGAGAGTTATCAGACAAATATGAGAGCAATATTCAACCGGCAAACTGGACTTTTGGTGTCATTTGGCCGATTATTTATCTCTGGAATGCTGTCGGTGCATTTTATATGATTGTAGCTCTCTGCCTCAAGGAAGAGGATAGTCCAACAGTGAGAGAGAAGCCTTTGATTCCTCCAGTAAGTAAAGAGAGATTTTATAGGAGTAGGATTTTATATGTTTATCCTGACGAAGAGGAAAGGCGATAAGATGGCTTAATTATATGGCGAACCGCGACTCTCGTTCAATTACCAGTCCATGTTGGGTCTGGCGCGGCGGTGTGGCTCAACGGGCTAAGCGTTAGGAATACGCTCGCCACCGCACCTCTAACTACTCTGCGTGGGTTCGCTGGTTCGAATCCCATGCAGGGATGGTTATGTGCGAGAGGATTGCTGGACTCCTCGCCATCGTTGGGTGGTTCACGTAACCGCTGGTCGGTTACGGCTTCCTCCACCACCAAGTCCATGCTTCCGAAAACAAACAATACAGTAAAACTAATCCCATACCCGACTTGGAATGGTAACCGGACGAGAGGCCGTGGTTCGCCATATGGATAAGCTGTCTTATCGGCTTTCCTCTCCCCCGGGATAAATATGTAAATCCTATCCTATCCTGTATGTGATTAGTTAGCTAGTTATTTGTTTCAGATGCACGGACTTGGTGGTGGAGACCACCTTACATAGGCGAGAAGTCCAGCAATCCTCTCACACATAATTTTCTCCTCTCATGATTTGAACCTGCAAACCCAAGCAGGGTAATCAGAGGAGCTGTGGCGAGCGTATTTTTCAACGCTTAGTACGATGCGCCACAACGCGAGCTAAATGAAGTAAACGTATTATTTATCCCATTATCATATAGAGTTTGGCACCTCAAAATAAGTTGAATAAATAAGGAAACCAAAAAAAAAAGAAACATTTTTTAATATATCAGGCATTCTTTATGATTACTGGTGAGCTTTATTGTCAGCTTTTCTTCTCCTTTCTTAAGGGGTCATTCGACCTTGTCGAAGTCCTGCCCGCCTCTTCGATTATATTTTAGGATTATTGTTTATTTTTTCCCTGCAATGTGTACTTTGATGATATATCCGGAAATAGGTCATTATCTCTCTCTCTCTCTTTCTTCCTTCCTCGGATAATTATCAAATTTTACTATTTAATCAGGTAACCCTGATATTCTGGTGTCTGAGCTGGTCAACATCTGTGGCATGGATTTTTGCAAACGACAGAGAGATTTTGGGACTAGCAATGTTCTTCATACTCGCAGCTTGCTGGGTTACTTATGCTGGTCTTGCATTCTCGTATCGGAGTTATTACCCTGAAGTCGAAGAGCTAAAAGCACAGAATCCAAGTGAGTGAAGTATATAAATATGAATGTAATTTTCTTTGGATGTTTGCACAACATAGCTGTGAATGTTTTTGTCTGATTACTTTACCAGACACTTGTAATCATTACATATCGATCTTGATCGAAAAGTATGATGATAGGTATTTTTCTGTTTGTCTCTTAGACACTTTCGTATTTTGAGCAATATCTCACAAAAGCAAGGTTGAATCTGCTCCAAATTTTGCATGTGCATTCATCATATCTCAGACCAAAAGCCTATTGATTTTGGATGAGTTATGTCGTATAATTACGAGCTATCAATTAATTAGTGATAGGACACGCGGTGTCGCTATTGAGTCAGAGCGAAGGATACACGTCGCTAGATCGATAAGTCGGTGGTCTCTGATTGCTATCTCGTTGTGCCATTACTTGTTGTTACTTAGTAATTATTACTTGTTTACATGTTTGTGTGAGTGTGGTGCTTTGGTGATGGTGCATTATAGTTTGTAACAGGCCTGGATGAAGGATCTGTATATGTGTATCTGCCCTGCAAATAAACTTTTCAACAGCAATTGCTTGTTATCACACCTCTAATTACCCTGCACAAAGTGCAAGTTCAAAATGAGTCGCAAGTTCGAATCTTGTGGGTATAATCATGTACGAGAGGATTGTCGAATACCTCACTGTAGTAGGGTGATTCATGTAACGGCTCTTTTGATTATCAAGTCTATACGGCTAAAATGGCTCATTATCAACTATCCAACTGGTTAACTATCGTAATGGACTGGGAATTAGTCAAACGGTCGCAGCACACTATAAAATTAAGCCAACTTATTGTTGCATTACCCCCAGTTTGAGAACCACTGCTCTACATAATTCCACTCCGTCATCAGTTGAACATTTTTCTCTTGTTTCTAGAATTGCTTTGGCTTGTCCGTATCATTTTCCACAATGGATATGCGATTCTGGCAACATGGTTGACGTGCGCTTGGAAACTGATGTTGGCAACTGTGATCACTTACAAGGGCAGCATGGGAAGCCCTGTTGCAGAGCTGAACGGTAGGTTAACTGGAGGAGTGTGTTGATATTTCATTTTTTTGGACAGTAAACAGTGCAATTTCACTCGGCCGTGTGGTGCATGATGCTAAGTGTTGAGAATACGCTGGTTCGAATCTCACGGGGGTGATTATGTGCGAGAGGATTGTTGGGCTCATCGTCGCCGCAGGGTGGTTCACATAACTGCTGGTGCATCAAGTCAACCTCTGCCATTAAGTCAAACATATACTTTGATGAGCGACTTGAATCTGAATTTCTGAGCCGATATAGATTCCGGGTGCCTTATGTATGGATGTTTTCCTGAGCATCGATTTCCTTGTTTAATTCAGTAACAATCAACAATCAGCAGTAAGTCAACATTGACGCAACATTTGAAATCTATTCAGCAGCTCAGACACTTCTTTCGTTCAGAATTTTTTTTAGAGGTCAAACGCCGGGAAATGTCCATTGTGATTATTTTTTAACATGGCGAAGTTCGAAATAAATCATCTTATAATAACTTTATTAAATAATTGAAAGGAATTGGATAGTTAATTAAAATCTTATTCGAAGTGTTTGTCTCACAATTTCATGATTTTTTGTACCGTGGCAGAATTCAAAGTATATTCCCCTATCCCAACTTGAACAGTTTTCAGACTTGCATGATTGAACCTCATTATAAGTTTTGATAGCTTTAAATCAGTTAGAAGTTTATTTCACATGCCAAAAGTACACATTGTGAAAACATAATTAAGAAAGATGAAAAAATGCATTTCAGTGTGAAGCGAGACATGGAAAACCAGTGATGAAATATCAGGCAGAGTCACCTATGAAGTCCTGAATTGTCACCTTGTGTTGTTTGTGTAATCATTCTGTACAACAACAGATTTTAAAATGAATTTTCTATCTTATTTAGGTTCACTGACAGCTGAAGACGCTGGCACAATCTCTCTTGTCATCCTCCTGTTAGAGATCATAGTCTGGTTTGTACTTGAAAACTTCGTTTTCGAAAAATATTGTCGCTACACTCTTACCATCTACCCTACTCTTGTGTTTGCTTTGATTGGAGCTCTCGTTGGGAATTACGTCAGTCCCTTCTCAAGGAATATGTATCTGTCTCTCACCGGTTTGATTCTTTCAATTCTTGCTCTGATCGCTCGTACTGTGCTGGTTGCTTACAGGCATAGGAACGGAAAAGTGGATGTTGCCTAGAGCGTGGCTTAAACTTTTGGTGTTATGAGGATGCAGAGGTTTACTATTATTTACGGACCCCCACAATAAGTTCATAAAAAGGAAAACACATTGTTACTTACCCTTGACTTACCCCATTTTTAGAGCCCCACAATAAGTTTATAAATATGAAAACCCTATTTTACTTACCCCATTTAGGGAGCCCACATTGTTACTTACCCTTTAGACCCATTAAACCCCATTTATTACCCAGACTACCCCATTTTAGGCCCCACAATAAGTTTATAAATATGAAAACCCCTTTTTACTTACCCCATTTATGGAGCCCCACATTGTTACTTACCCCTGACTTACCCCATTTTCAGAGCTCCACAATAAGTTTATAAAAATGAAACTCATTGTTACTTACTGATCAATGTTGGTGAGTAAATTAAAGTTTATATAATGACTCAGATGTATTTGCTGCTCGGATGTATTATTTGCCATTAGGCCTATTGCTTTTTTAGACAGTTACGAAATTAGCCAAGCCTTTAGGTTTCTCTCATGGACCCCATATTTTGTAATGTAAAAAAATCATATTCCTGTAGCATACATGGCATTTTTTTGCAGTTTGAAACGATTTTTAGACTCTCAGTAAAGTGAGAAAGTTAACTGAATATTGATTTAAGTTGTTGAAAAAAATTAAAAGTTAATAAATGTTGGTTTTGATTTTTCCTTCTAAATCCTGGCGTGGCTCTGTACAAACAAACTCTGCACAAACGAAAGTTTACCTGTGTTATCATCATTTAATTTCTATCATTCATTTTGAATTCAATTCAAGCTACTATTTCTCAACACACACTTTTCTAACAGAATTTAGTTTTGTGGTGACTTATAAAAGAAACCATCAGATAATCATTTCATGCCTTACTTGCCAGCTTATATTCCCAAGCTGAAGTTCTTAATACGAAAAGTGTCATCGTGAAAAAGTCATTTGAATTTTGATTATAATTCTTTACTAATCCATATATTAGAGCGAATGCTTCTTCATAAAGTTTTTTTTTACTCAAGATTATTAACTTAAGAAAAATATTGTTGTGAGGTTGTGAATATATTTACCGATAGTTACTTTTTTCGTTTTGTTGTTTGCTTTGCTTTAGTAAACTGCTGAATTTAACACAGGATAGACCAGTGGCTCTTTACCTTTTGATATATATTTAGTTACCTATTTCGTTTTTCTGTTGCTTTTAAAAACTGCTGCGAAGCTTATAATTGTTGTTACGTGTAGTTACTTATTTTGTTTTGTTCTTGCTGCTTCTTGCCTTCCTTTCACAAATTCCTAGTTTTTAGTCGGAGTCAAAGTTTGGTATATTTGTATTTTCAAAACTACAGACTTGTGGTGATAATCGAATAAAATATTCAACAAAAAGTTTAAAAATAATTTGACAAAGACAATTAAAAAAAAGCAAAAAGGAAAAAATTTGCCAAAATAGTTCTTTAATTTCTCTCATTTAAAAAAAACATTATTTGAGATGATATGCTTTGAAAGTTTGTCATGTCATTTTTTATGCTCTTAAAAGACACCCTGTCTCCAATGAAATGATTAGTCTTCATTGTTTCGGCTTTCACATGTTCACAGTTTTCTCAGTAGAAAATTGAAGCGGGCTTGTTAATTTCAACTTTTGTATATATTTGTTCATTTCTCTCATTTAAAAAACATTATTCAAAACAAAGTATATGCATTAGAAATTTCCTGTATTTAGTGACATCATTCTTTTACACCATAGATAGACACTTCGTCTCTAAAAAATGATTTGTCATCACTGTGTTGGCTTCACAACCTGTGTGCAGTCATGCATTTTATGCCCTGCAAGGTTAAATTGAAGAGATTTTTCCCCATTTAAGATGTTTGAACAAAGCAGTCATGCATGCATGTTTTACAGTGCAGAGTTGAATTAAACTTTTTTCGTTTATGTAGGCAGCTTGGTTTAAAAATGCAGTCACGCATGCTTTATATTCCAGAGTTAAATGAAACCATCTTTTTTTCAGATTTTGATTCAATTTTAATATATATTGGTGTCCTATTTAAACAAAACTTTGTATTTCAGAGTTGAATTTTCTCTATTTTTTCCTAAACTTAAATATGATATTTTAAAAAGCAGACTGTTTTATTTTGCGGTGTCGAATTGGACCCCTTTTTCTTGAATTTAATTTTAATTTTATGTATTCTAAAAATTGCATTTCAAAAATGCTCAGCTGTGATGGGTTGCTCTTAAAGAGAAGACCTTGCTTCAAGCAAATTATAATATTTGATTTGTTATATACACACTTTTAAATTTTCGACTATTTTTGAAAAAAAAATTTTCACATCGGAACAAGGTTTCACACATTTTCACTTTTGTGTTCATTTGTTTTCATTTTTCGTGTTCATTAAAAAAATTGCAATATAAAAATGTGCGATATGTTAGTTGTAGATAAGGAAAATGGAGGAGCAAGTAACAAGGGGCCCATATGACACGCCATAAATCCTTTTTTTCTCTATCTCGATTTGTGAATAATTTTGAGAGAGACCAGGATAAGTGATACACTAAATTGCTTTGGAACCATTGTGATGTTGTGATTATTACGTCAAACGTCACTCTGCGGTTAACCGGTTAATTTCACCCGTTAACGGTTGAAGTGTTTTCCCTGAAATTCCCAGCCCTAGTGATGCATGTTAGATAGAATCATAATTATAGAAGTCAGGAAAGCAAACAAAACGAGCGCAGTGGTTCCCAACGATTTTTTGTACATTGCCCCCCTTTCTTGATTTTGAATCTCTCCATTCCCCCTTAATATGCAAAAAAAATTCTGTTTCCATTTGCTGTTTAATTAACAACTGGTAACACAACCTGCACTCTGGTTTTTGTAGTTTGTGAAGTGAGCCCCCTTGAGAGTTGGTTAACAATTTATAATGGCTGTTATTTAAATGAGATACTTTACCATTTGAGTAAAAAATACGAGTTTCAGTTATTTCCAATTTAAAATTATTTTATTAAAACATTTAACGATTATAACTTTTTGCCATTTTTGCGCACCTAGCTCACACCATGGCTGCCACGCCCTAGATACGCCACTGACTACACATACCAACATTGCTTATACCTTATATTGCAAAGAGTTTCCTACTTTATTTATCCATTTTGGCACCATTTTGCTATTACTTCTCAACAAATTTTTGATTATGTTTGTCTTGGATTAGGATGAGAGAGATTAGCGTTCTGAAATTTGTAATCGCCAAGTTAGACGTATCATAAGTGATTCAAGAGCAGTGCTGCACACTAACACAAATATATTTCTGTAACGTTTCGTTAGGTTAACTGTGTATGTCCTTGGTCAGACGAAATGTTACAGAAATATATTTGCGTTAGTGTGCAGCAAGACTCTTGAATCACTTAGGATAGCTATTACTTATCGATTTTAATCAGTAAGTATGTTGATAGGTATTTGTCTGTTTGTCTGTTAGATGCACGCGATATCTCACGAAAGCGAGATTGAATCTGCTCCAGATTTTGCATGTGCATTCATCACATGTCCGGCGACTCCGGCCTATTGATTTTGGATGAATTATGTCGTATAATTAGCGAGTTATTAATTAATTAGTGATGGGAAACAAGGTGCCACTATGGAATAAGACCGCTGTTTTGGGGGATCCCCCTAACTTTCGATCGATAAGTCTTCGTCTCTGACCGATATTCTCGACTTTACTCTTGCTAGAACATCCTTGCATTAAACGATTCCACCAACACAAAAGCATAGAAGAAGGATAAGTAGTTAGTTTCACAGAAACTCAATCATTAGCACAAGTTAGACATAGCAGCCAGCATTTTCAGGAGTATTGTTGGTCTAAAAAGCGTTTCAAGTTACGAAAAACGACTAGAAACCTAGTTTATCATTTTTGTATTGCAATATATTGTGTGTATCACTGCTATGATCAGTAGTGGCTTCTCAAATCCTCCATATGAATATTTTTCATATGTTGCATAATATTTTTTGGGTACTCCCGTAGTATGTGCAACAAGATGGCGAACACCGAAACGTAGTATGTGTACCAGGTTAGGGCTAGGCCATAACTTCAGGTACAAATACTACGAGAGTCACTTGGCTAGTACCCGAACTCGTAATATAACTGAAATAAGGAAATTTGGAATAAAATTATGGCCTAACCCTAACCTGGTACATATACTATGTTTTGGTGCCCGTCATCTTGTTGCACATACTACGGGAATGCCTATTTCTTGTAGCTTTGCCATTTTGAATATTTTACACAATTTGTTTAATTGTTCCTAGAAAGCATACTTGTAGCCTCAAAGCTATGTCCTCCCACTATATATATACGCAGGGATTCCATACCGTTCTTATTTCTAAGGTTTGTCCTTATTTTTAGCTTATTTTTAGCTTGCGTCCTTATTTTTGACTCGCGTGTCCTTATTTTGTCTTATTTGGACATAAAGGAAGCTTTGTGTTGTTTGTCTTATCGCCAAAGCTTTATTGTGCCATCATAAAAGCAACACAATCTTATTTAGAACACAAAGAAGCAAGGCACAGATAGAGATGAAGCATTGTTAGTGTGGTGATCCTTGGGTTTTGTTGTGGTGGTTATTTTAGCCTAAATTTAAAAGTGAGCAAACGTATGAACGTTCTTCGTGATGAGTACGGGAAAGAATTCAATGTTAAACGAAGCTTGAAGGATGAGTGCTTCGCACACTGTGACGTCTGTAATTGTGATATTAACCTGGAGCCCATAGGAAAGCCAGCTAATTCTGCTAATAATGCCTAAATTTTTCTGGTTGTCCTTATTTTGGGTTCCAGATTGATGGAATCCCTGTATATGCGGTAACTTTTCATACGGTCTTTTTCACAGAATTTAATTAGATATTTAAAAGCTCTATTGGATAAAAACTCCAAATATGGGGAGTTCCACGCTCAAGTATGCAATGACTATCTTAGCCTTTGTGGTGTATATAGTTTCACTCATATTCTCCTACCTTAATTCACTGTCTGGAATGGGTGGAAATAAAAACGAGACAAATGAGACTGCTTTGGGAGGTAAGTGATAGAACGGTTTTTGCGTTTAGATTTACGGTATATTTAAAACGCTGGTCCCAAACCTTTCGTTATCGGTTCCCAACTGACAATACTTAGTCCAATGTAACCCATGAGTCGAAATGTATCCTTGGGGTCGGTCGACCTCATTGACCTTGCATTCTTGCGCATCCCCTTCTGTTTATATTCTATGATCATTGTTTTTTCAATGCAATGTACTTTAATGATATTTGGAAATAAATCATTATCTATATCAGGGATGGCAAACCTTTTTCAATGAATGGGTCAATGATTATATTTTTAATAAGCAAAAGGGAATGTGGGTCACAGACTTCCTGGGCTGGTAAGTCATTAATTCGTGACTTGGTGGGTCACTTGTTGACCCGTGTTTAGTGGTTCGCCATCCCTGATCTACATTACCGGTTTATGTGATCAAATTACCGTACAACCGATCACAAAATGAAAGCACTTGTGGGATGAATATGGGAGAATAATCACCACCCAGAAATGAGACAGCGAAAATGTGACGCTATTTGAGGCAAGATTATATATCCAAAAAATTCCCCAAAAGAGACGGATTTTAAACTTCATTTCCAGGGTTAAATCTCAACACTACCAGAAAGTTAAAATGTGAGAATAAGGGATAAATATGTGAGAATAATTGCATCCAGGAATGAGAAAGCGTGAATGAGACTCTATTTAAAGCGAGATTATATGTTTAAAAAATGCATATTTGTTCCCCGAAAAAGACAATTTTTAAACCTAATTTTCAGGGTTATATCTCAATACCATTAGAGAGTTATCAAAAAAATACAAGAGCAATATTCAACCAGCCAGCTGGACTTTCGTTGTCATCTGGATGATTATTTATCTCTGGAATGCAATTGGTGCATTTTATATGATTGTAGCTCTCTGCCTGAAGAAAGAGGATAGTCCAACAGTGAGAGAGAAGCCTTTGATTCCTCCAGTAAGTCAAGAGAGTGATTTTATGGTATTAGTAATAGGATTTTACGTATTCATCCTGGGGGAGAGGAATGCCGATAAGATGGCCTAACCATATGGTGGGCCGCAGCCTCTTGTCCAGTCTATGTCGGGTATGGGATTCGTTAGTCAGTTATTTGTTTTGAGATTCATGGACTTGATGGTGGAGAAAGCCCTTACTGATCGGCGGTTACGTGAAACACCCATTCGTCGGCGTGGATTTCAGCAATCCTTATGTACATAATTATTTACCCTTTGGATTTGAACCTGCAAACCCGAAAAGGGTAATCAGAGCTGAGCGTGTTCCTAATGCTCAGCACGTTGCACCACACCGCAGAGCCCAAGAATGCTAACATTATGATTTATACAAGTATAATATAGAGTTCGCAGCATCATGCTAAGCGTTAAAAACGGTGTGCATCGGCTCACAGGTTTGAATCTCCTGGACGTCATAATGTGCGAGAGGATTGCTGTACTCCTCATCGCTGTAGGTTTGTTCCCTGGTCAGTTACGACTTCTTCCAAACGTATATTTCAAATTTTTGTTTATTCTGTATGAATAAGCTATATTATTGGCTTTCTTCCTGCTTCCTTGAGGGGTCTGTCGATCTTGAAGTCTTCCAATTATATTGGACACTTAGTGATTTTCAGTGGCTAAAGATAGAATTTTTCTCCAGAAGGCTATTACTTTTTTTTCGCTATGACGTCATCAAAATTATGTGGCTCTACGTGTCCATATATTTGAGCATAGCTCTCTTGTTTATGATTATTGTTTATTTGGGGCTCCTGATGTATGCGAACCAAGATGGCGGACATCGGAATGTAATATGTGTACTAGGTTAGGGTTAGGCGATAATTTTAGGTACAAATACTACGAGAGGCACTTGGCTAGTCTTCGAACTCATAGTAGGACTAAAATAAGGGAAATTGGAATAAAATTATGGCCTAACCCTAACATGTTACCCATGCTACGTTTCGATGTCTGCCATCTTGGTTCGCATACTTCAGGAACACCGTTTATTTTTCCCACTGCAATAGGTACCCTCGAATAATTCTATTTTTATTCATTTAGGTGACTCTGATATTCTGGTGTCTGAGCTGGTCATTGTCCGTGGCATGGATTTTTGCGAACGACAGAGAGATTTTGGGACTGGCAATGTTCTTCATACTTGCGGCTTGCTGGGTTACTTACGCTGGTCTTGCATTCTCGTATCGGAGTTATTACCCAGAAGTCGAAGAACTGAAACAACAGAATCCAAGTGAGTGAAGTATATAAATATGAATGAATTTTTTTTGGATGTTTGCACAACCCCGCTGTGAATGTTTTTGTCTGATTACTTTACCAGACACTTGTAATCATTACATATCGATCTTGATCGGAAAGTATGATGATAGGTATTTTTCTGTTTGTCTGTTAGACACTTTCGTATTTTAAGCAATATCTCACAAAAGCGAGGTCGAATCTGCTCCAAATTTTGCATGTGCATTCATCATATCTCGGACCAGAAGCCTATTGATTTTGGATGAATTGTGTCGTATAATTAGCGAGTTATCAATTAATTAGTGATGGGACACGCGGTGTCGCTATTGAGTATGAGCGAAGGATACACCTCGCTAGATCGATAAGTCGGCGGTCTCTGATTGCTATCTCGTTGTGCCATTACTTGTTGTTACTTAGTAATTATTACTTGTTTACATGTTTGTGTGAGTGCTGTGCTTTGGTGATGGTGCATTATAGTTTGTAACAGGCCTGGATGAAGGATCTGTATATGTGTATCTGCCCTGCAAATAAACTTTCCAACAGCAATTGCTTGTTATCACACCTCTAATTACCCTGCACAAAGTGAGTCGCAAGTTCGAATCTTGTGGGTATAATCATGTACGAGAGGATTGTCGAATACCTCACTGTAGTAGGGTGATTCGCATAACTGCTCTTTTGATTATAAAGTCTATTCGGCTAAAACGACTCATTATCAACTATCCAACTGGTTAGCTATCGTAATGGACTGGGAATCAGTCAAACGGCCGCAGCACACTATAAAATTAAGCCGTCTTATTGTTGCATTACCCCCAGTTTGAGAACCACTGCTCTACATAATTCCACTCCGTCATCGTTTGAACATTTCTTTCTTGTTTCTAGAATTGCTTTGGCTCGTTCGTATCATTTTCCACAATGGATATGCGATTCTGGCAACATGGTTGACGTGCGCTTGGAAACTGATGTTGGCAACTGTGATCACTTACAAGGGCAGCATGGGAAGTCCTGTTGCAGAGCTGAATGGTAGGTTGACTAGTGGATGTGTTGATATTTCATTTTTTTGGACAGTAAACAGTGCAATTTCACTCGGCCGTGTGGTGCATGATGCTAAGTGTTAAGAATACGCTGGTTCGAATCTCACAGGGGGTAATTATGTGCGAGAGGATCGTTGGGCTCATCGTCGCCGCAGGGTGGTTCACATAACTGCTGGTGCATCAAGTCAACCTCTGCCATTAAGTCAAACATATACTTTGAGCGACTTGAATCTGAATTTCTGAGCCGATATGGATTCCGGGTGCCTTATGTATGGATGTTTCCCTGAGCATCGATTTCCTTGTTTAATTCAGTAACAATCAACAATCAGCAGTAAGTCAACATTGACGCAACATTTGAAATTTATTCAGCAGCGCAGACACTTCTTTCGCTCAGCCGGGAAATGTCCATTGTGATTATTTTTTAACATGGCGAAGTTCAAATAAATCAGCTTATACTAACTTTATTAAATAATTGAAAGGAATTGGATAGTTAATTTAAATCTTATTTGAAGTGTTTGTCTCACAATTCCGTGATTTTTTGTACCGTGGCAGTATTTAAAGTATATTCCCCTATCCTAACTTGAACAGTTTTCAGACTTGCATGGTTGGCTCATTAGATGTTTTAATAGCTTTCAATCAGTCAGAAATTTATGCCAAAAGTACACATTGTGAAAACATAATTTAGAAAAGATAAAAAAATGCATTTCAGTGTGAAGCGAGACATGGAAAACCAGTGATGAAATATCAGGCAAAGTCACCTATAAAGTCCTGAATTGTCACCTTGTGTTGTTTGTGTAATCATTCTGTACAACAGCAGATTTTAAAATTAATTTTCTATCTTATTTAGGTTCACTGACAGCTGAAGACGCTGGCACAATCTCTCTTGTCATCCTCCTGTTAGAGATCATAGTCTGGTTTGTACTTGAAAACTTCGTTTTTGAAAAATATTGTCGCTACACTCTCACCATCTACCCTACTCTTGTGTTTGCATTGATCGGAGCTCTCGTTGGGAATTACGTCAGTCCCTTCTCAAGGAATATGTATCTGTCACTCACCGGTTTGATTCTTTCAATTCTTGCTCTGATCGCTCGTACTGTGCTGGTTGCTTACAGGCATAGGAACGGAAAAGTGGATGTTGCCTAGAGCGTGGCTTAAACTTTTGGTGTTATGGAGATGCAGAGGTTTACTATTATTTACGGACCCCCACAATAAGTTCATAAAAAGGAAAACACATTGTTACTTAACCCATCTTCTGAGCCCCAAAATAAGTTTATAAATATGAGAACCCCTTTTTACTTACCCCATTTATGGAGCCCCACATTGTTACTTACCCCAGAATTACCCCATTTACAGAGCCCCACAATAAGTTTATAAATATGAAAACCCTATTTTACTTACCCCATTTAGGGAGCTCACATTGTTACTTACCCTTGAATTACCCCATTTTCAGAGCCCCACAATAAGTTTATAAATATGAAAGCCCTATTTTACTTACCCCATTTAGGGAGCCCCACATTGTTACTTACCCTTGAATTACCCCATTTTCAGAGCCCCACAATAAGTTTATAAATATGAAAACCCTATTTTACTTACCCCATTTAGGGAGCCCACATTGTCACTTACCCCTGACTTACCCCATTTTCAGAGCCTCACAATAAGTTTATAAATATGAAAACCCCTTTTTACTTACCCCATTTATAGAGCCCCACATTGTTACTTACCCCTGACTTACCCCATTTTCAGAGCTCCACAATACGTTTATAAACATGAAACTCATTGTTCCTTACTGATCAATGTTGGTGAGTAAATTAAAGTTTATTTAATGACTCAGATGTATTTGCTGCTCGGATGTATTATTTGCCATTAGGCCTATTGCTTTTTTAGACAGTTACAAAATTAGCCAAGCCTTTAGGTTTCTCTCACGACCCTCATTTTGTAATGTAAAAAAAATCATATTCCTGTAGCATACATGGCAATTTTTGCAGCTTAAAACGATTTTTAGGCTCTCAGTAAAGTGAGAAAGTTAACTGAATATTGATTTAAGTTGTTAAAAAAAATTAAAATTTAATAAATGTTGGTTTTGATTTTCCTTCTAAATCCTGGCGTGACTCTGTACAAACAAACTCTGCACAAACGAAAATTTACCTGTGTTATCATCATTTAATTTCTATCATCCATTTTGAATTCAATTCAAGCTACTATTTCTCAACACACACTTTCCTAACAAAATTTCAAATTTAGTTTTGTGGTGACTTATAAAAGAAACCATCGGATCGCGAAACGATCCAATATCGCCTTTCTTGCCAGATTATATTCCCAAGCTGAAGTTCTTAATAGAAAAGTGTCATCGTGAATAAGTCATTTGCCCTTTTATTATATTTCTTTACTAGTCCATATATCAGAGCAAAAGCTTCTTCATAAAGTTTTTTTTTTACTCAAGATTATCAACTTGAGAAAAATATTGCGAATTTGTGAATATATTTACCGATAGTTACTTTTTTCGTTTTGTTGTTTGCTTTGCTTTAGTAAACTGCTGATTTTAACACAGGATAGACCAGTGGTTCTTTTGATATATATTTAGTTACCTATTTCATTTCGTTTTTCTGTTGCTTTTAAAAACTGCTGCGAAGCTTATAATTGTTGTTACGTGTAGTTACTTATTTTGTTTTTGCTGCTTCTTGCCTTCCTTTTACAAATTCCTAGTTTCTAGTTGGAGTCAAAGTTTGGTATATTTGTATTTTCAAACCTACAGACTTGTGGTGATAATCGAATAAAATATTCAACAAAAATTTTAAAAATGATTTGACATAGACAATTAAAAAAAAAAAAAATTTGCCAAAATATTTCTTTAATTTCTCTCATTTTAAAAAAATAATATTTGAGATGATATGCTTTGAAAGTTTGTCATGTCATTTTTTATGCTCTTGAAAGACACCCTGTCTCTAAAGAAATGATTAGTCTTCACTGTTTCGGCTTTCACATGTTCACTGTTTTCTCAGTAAACAATTTGAGCGGGCTTGTTAATTTCAACTTTTGTATATATTTGTCCATTTCTCTCATTTAAAAAACATTATTCAAAACAAAGTATATGCATTAGAAACTTCCTGTATTTGGTGGCATCATTCTTTTACACCATAGAAAGACACTCCGTCTCTAAAAAATGATTTGTCATCACTGTGTTGGTTTCACAACCTGTGTGCAGTCATGCATTTTATGCCCTGCAAGGTTAAATTGAAGAGATTTTTCCCTATTTAATATGTTTGAACAAAGCAGTCATGCATGTTTTACAGTGCAGAGTTGAATTAAACTTATTTCGTTTATGAAGGCAGCTTGGTTTAAAAATGCAGTCACGCATGCTTTATATTCCAGAGTTAAATGAAACCATCTTTCTTTCAGATTTTGATTCAATTTTAATATATATTGGTGTTCTATTTAAACAAAACTTTGTATTTCAGAGTTAAATTTTCTCTATTTTTTCCTAAACTTAAATATGATCCCTGAAAAAGCAGACTGTTTTATTTTGCGGTGTCGAATTGGGCCCCTTTTTCTTGAATTTAATTTCGATTTCATGTATTCTAAAAATTGCATTTCAAAAATGCTCAGCTGTGATGGGTTGCTCTCAAAGAGAAGGCCTTGCTTCAAGCAAATTATAATATTCAATTTGTCATATACACACTAAATTTTCGACTATATTTGAAAAAAAAATTTTTCACATCTGAACAAGGTTTCACACATTTTCACTTTTGTGTTCAGGTATTTTCATTTTTCGTGTTCATTAAAAAAATTGCAATATAGAAATGTGCGATATGTTAGTTGTAGATAAGGAAAATGGAGGAGCAAGTAACAAGGGGCCCATATGACACGCCATAAATCCTTTTTTTCTCTATCTCGATTTGTGAATAATTTTGAGAGAGTCCAGGATAAGTGATACACTAAATTGCTTTGGAACCATTGTGATGTTGTGATTATTACGTCAAACGTCACTCTGCGGTTAACCGGTTAATTTCACCCGGTTAACGGTTGAAGTGTTTTCCCTGAAACTCCCAGCCCTAGTGATGCATGATAGATAGAATCATGATTATAGAAGTCAGGAAAGCAAACAAAACAAGCGCAGTGGTTCCCAACAATTTTGTTTACATTGCCCCCCTTTCTTGATTTTGAATCTCTCCATTCCCCCTTGATATGCAAAAAAATTCTGTTTCCATTTGCTGTTTAATTAACAACTGGTAACACAACCTGCACTCTGGTTTTTGTAGTTTGTGAAGTGAGCCCCCCTTGAGAGTTGGTTAACAATTTATAATGGCTGTTATTTAAATAAGATACTTTACCATTTGAGTAAAAAATACAAGTTTCAGTTATTTCCAATTTAAAATTATTTTATTGAAACATTTAACGATTATTATTGCAAAGAGTTTCTGAAATTTGTAATCGCCAAGTTAGACGTATCATATGTGATTCAAGAGCAGTGCTGCACACTAACACAAATATATTTCTGTAACGTTTCGTTAGGTTAACTGTGTATGTCCTTGGTCAGACGAAATGTTACAGAAATATATTTGTGTTAGTGTGTAGCAAGACTCTTGAATCACTTAGGATAGCTATTACTTATCGATTTTAATCAGTAAGTATGTTGATAGGTATTTATCTGTTAGATGCACGCGATATCTCACGAAAGCGAGATTGAATCTGCTCCAGATTTTGCAAGTGCATTCATCACATGTCCGGCGACTCCGGCCTATTGATTTTGGATGAATTATGTCGTATATTTAGCGAGTTATTAATTAATTAGTGATGGGAAACAAGGTGTCACTATGGAGTAAGAGCGCTGTTTTGGGGGATCCCCCTAACTTTCGATCGATAAGTCTTCGTCTCTGACCGATATTCTCGACTTTACTCTTGCTAGAACATCCTTGCATTAAACAATTCCACCAACACCGAAACGTAGTATGTGTACCAGGTTAGAGCTAGGCCATAATTTTCGGTACAAATACTACGGGAGTCACTTGGCTAGTCCCCGAACTCATAATAGAACTGAAATAAGGAAATTTGGAATAAAATTATGGCCTAACCCTAACGTGGTACATATACTATGTCTAGGTGCCCGCCATCTTGTTGCACATACTACAGGAACACCTATTTTTGTAGCTTTGCCATTTTGATTATTTTACACAATTTGTTTAATTGTTCCTAGAAAGCATACTTGTAGCTTCAAAGCTATGTCCTCCCACTATATATATACGCAGGGATTCCATACCGTTCTTATTTCTAAGGTTTGTCCTTATTTTTAGCTTGCGTCCTTATTTTTGACTCGCGTGTCCTTATTTTGTCTTATTTGGACTTCATAAAGGAAGCTTTGTGTTGTTTGTCTTATCGCCAGAGCTTTAATGTGCCATCATAAAAGCAACACAGTCTTATTTAGAACACAAAGAAGCAAGGCACAGATAGAGATGAAGCATTGTTAGTGTGGTGATCCTTAGATTTTATCGTGGCGGTGGTTATTTTAGCTTAAATTTAAAAATGGGCAAATGTAAGAACGTTCTTCGTGATGAGTACGGGAAAGAATTCAATGTTAAACGAAGCTTGAAGGATGAGTGCTTCGCACACTGTGACGTCTGTAATTGTGACATTAACCTGGAGCCCATAGGAAAGCCAGCTAATTCTGCTAATAATGCCTAAATTTTTCTGGTTGTCCTTATTTTGGGTTCCAGATTGATGGAATCCCTGTATATGCGGTAACTTTTCATACAGTCTTTTTCACAGAATTTAATTAGATATTTAAAAGCTACCGTATATTGGTTAAAAACTCCAAATATGGGGAGTTCCTCGCTCAAGTATGCAATGACTATCTTAGCCTTTGTGGTGTATATAGTTTCACTCATATTCTCCTACCTCAATTCACTGTCTGGAATGGGTGGAAATAAAAACGAGACAAATGAGACTGCTTTGGGAGGTAAGTGATAGATCGGTTTTTGCGTGTAGATTTACGGTATATTTAAAACGCTGGTCCCAAACCTTTCATTATCGGTTCCCAACTGACAATACTTAGTCCAATGTAACCCATGAGTCGAAATGTACTCTTGGGGTCGGTCGACCTCATTGACCTTGCATTCTTGCTCATCCCCTTCTGATTATATTCTATGATCATTGTTTTTTCAATGCAATGTACTTTAATGATATTTGGAAATAAATCATTATCTATATCAGGGATGGCGAACCTTTTTCAATGAATGGGTCAATGATTATATTTTTAATAAGCAAAAGGGAATGTGGGTCACAGACTTCCTGGGCTGGTGACTTGCTTGGTGGGTCACGGAAAAAACATGGTGGGTCACTTGTTGACCCGTGTTCAGTGGTTCGCCATCTCTGATCTACATTACCGGTTTATGTGATCAAATCACTGTACAATCAATCACAAAATGAAAGCACTTGTGGGATAAATATGGGAGAATAATCACCACCCAGAAATGAGACAGCGTGAATGTGACGCTATTTGAGGCAAGATTATATATCAAAAAAATGCATATTTGTTCCCCAAAAGAGACGGATTTCAAACTTCATTTACAGGGTTAAATCTCAACACTATCAGAGAGTTAAAATGGGAGAATAAGGCATAAATATGTGAGAATAATTGCATCCAGAAATGAGACTCTATTTAAAGCGAGATTATATGTTTAAAAAATGCATATTTGTTCCCCGAAAAAGACATTTTTTAAACCTAATTTTCAGGGTTATATCTCAATACCATTAGAGAGTTATCAGAAAAATACAAGAGCAATATTCAACCAGCTAGCTGGACTTTCATTGTCATCTGGATGATTATTTATCTCTGGAATGCAATTGGTGCATTTTACATGATTGTAGCTCTCTGCCTGAAGAAAGAGGATAGTCCAACAGTGAGAGAGAAGCCTTTGATTCCTCCAGTAAGTAAAGAGAGAGATTTTATGGTATTAGTAATTGGATTTCACATGTTTATCCTGGGGAAGAGGAAAGGTGACAACATGGCTTAATTATATGGCGAACCAGTTTCAGTTATTTGTTTCACATGCATGGACTTGATAGTGGGTGAAGCCGTAACCGACCCATGGCTAGGTGAACCACCCTACGTCAGCGAGGAGTCCAGCAATCTTCTCTCACATAATTATCTTCTCTCGGAATTGAATCTGTGAACCCAAGCAGGGTAATCAGAGGTGATGTGGCGAACATATTACTAACGCTTAGCACAAATGAAACTAACGTTATGATTTCATCAAGTATCATATGGAGTTTGGTGCATCCTGCTAAGCCAGTGGTCTTCAACCTTTTTCCTTCCGTGGCCCACTTTCATTGCAAAAAAATTCTGTGGCCTTTGAACTGTTTTATGCAAGAGTAAATCTATAGGGAAGCAAAAAGCAAAAAAAAACTTTTTGTGAAGATAGACACTTTCATTATTAAAATGAGAATTACCACTCTGTAGCAAAAACAATTATTCATTGATACTACAATCAATATTTATTAATAGGTTTGTGGCCCATTTGAAAATGTTTCTGTGGCCCTGAAATGGGCCATGGCCCACTGGTTGAGAACCGATGTGCTAAGCGTTAGAAACAGTGTTACCATTGCATCTATGATTACCCTGCATGGGCTCACAGGTTTTGGATCCAACACGGGGATAATTAAGCGCGATAGGATTGCAGGTTGATGATAAGTTACAGCTTCCTCCACCATCAAGTTCATGCACCTCAGAATAAGTAGAATAAAAAGAAAGCCAGAAAAAAAAAGGAAAAAACATTTGGTTATTCTTTTTTCCTCTTTCCTTGAGGGGTCGATCGACCTTTTTGACCTTGAAGTCCTCCCGCCCTTTCCGATTATATTTTAGGTTTAGTGTTTATTCTTTCTACTGCAATGTGCACTTTGATGATATTTTCGGAAACAAAAAACATTGTCTCTCTATTTCTTTCTTCTTTGGATAATTCTCAAATTCCTATATTTACTCAGGTAACCCTGATATTCTGGTGTCTGAGCTGGTCAACATCCGTGGCGTGGATTTTTGCGAACGACAGAGAGATTTTGGGACTGGCAATGTTCTTCATACTTGCGGCTTGCTGGGTCACTTACGCTGGTCTTGCATTCTCGTATCGAAGTTATTACCCTGAAGTCGAAGAACTGAAACAGCAGAATCCAAGTGAGTGAAGTATATAAATATGAATGTATTTTTGTTTGGATGTTTGCACAACATAGCTGTGAATGTTTTTGTCTGATTACTTTACCAGACACTTGTAATCATTACATATCGATCTTGATCGGAAAGTATGGGTATAGGTATTTTTCTGTTTGTCTCTTGGACACTTTCGTATTTTGAGCAATATCTCACCAAAGCGAGGTTGAATCTGCTCCAAATTTTGCATGTGCATTCATCATATCTCAGACCAAAAGCCTATTGATTTTGGATGAGTTATGTCGTATAATTACCGAGGTATCAATTAATTAGTGATGGGACACACAGTGTCGCTATTGAGTGAGAGCGAAGGATACACGTCGCTAGATCGATAAGTCGGCGGTCTCTGATTGCTATCTCGTTGTGCCATTACTTGTTGTTACTTAGTAATTATTACTTGTTTACATGTTTGTGTGAGTGTGGTGCTTTGGTGATGGTGCATTAAAGTTTGTAACAGGCCTGGATGAAGGATCTGTATATGTGTATCTGCCCTGCAAATAAACTTTCCAACAGCAATTGCTTGTTATCACACCTCTAATTACCCTGCACAAAGTGAGTCGCAAGTTCGAATCTTGTGGGTATAATCATGTACGAGAGGATTGTCGAATACCTCACTGTAGTAGGGTGATTCATGTAACGGCTCTTTTGATTATCAAGTCTATTCGGCTAAAACGACTCATTATCAACTATCCAACTGGTTAGCTATCGTAATGGACTGGGAATCAGTCAAACGGCCGCAGCACACTATAAAATTAAGCCGTCTTATTGTTGCATTACCCCCAGTTTGAGAACCACTGCTCTACATAATTCCACTCCGTCATCATTTGAACATTTTTCTCTTGTTTCTAGAATTGCTTTGGCTTGTCCGTATCATTTTCCACAATGGATATGCGATTCTGGCAACATGGTTGACGTGCGCTTGGAAACTGATGTTGGCAACTGTGATCACTTACAAGGGCAGCATGGGAAGCCCTGTTGCAGAGCTGAACGGTAGGTTAACTGGAGGAGTGTGTTGATATTTCATTTTTTTGGACAGTAAACAGTGCAATTTCACTCGGCCGTGTGGTGCATGATGCTAAGTGTTAAGAATACGCTGGTTCGAATCTCACGGGGGTGATTATGTGCGAGAGGATTGTTGGGCTCATCGCCGCCGCAGGGTCAAGGATATACTTTGAGCTGTTTGTCTCCCAATTTCGCGATTTTTTGCACCATGGCAGTATTTAAAGTATATTCCCCTATCTTATCTTGAACAGTTTTCAGTCTTGCATGGTTGAACCTCATTATAAGTTTTAATAGCTTTCAATCAGTCAGAAATTTATGCCAAAAGTACACATTGTGAAAACATAATTAGGGAAGATAAAAAAATGCATTTTAGTGTGAAGCGAGACGCGGTAAACCAGTGATGAAATATCAGGCAAAGTCACCTATAAAGTCCTGAATTGTCACCTTGTGTTGTTTGTGTAATCATTCAGTACAACGGCAGATTTTAAAATGAATTTTTTATCTTATTTAGGTTCACTGACAGCTGAGGACGCTGGCACAATCTCTCTTGTCATCCTCCTGTTAGAGATCATAGTCTGGTTTGTACTGGAAAACTTCGTTTTTGAAAAATATTGTCGCTACACTATTACCATCTACCCTACTCTTGTGTTTGCATTGATTGGAGCTCTCGTTGGGAATTACGTCAGTCCCTTCTCAAGGAATATGTATCTGTCTCTTACCGGTTTGATTCTTTCAATTCTTGCTCTGATTGCTCGTACTGTGCTGGTTGCCTACAGGCATAGGAACGGAAAAGTGGATGTTGCCTAGAGCGTGGCTTAAACTTTTGGTGTTATGGGGATGCAGAGGTTTACTATTATTTACGGACCCCCATAATAAATTTATAGAAAGAAAAACACATTGTTATTTACCCCAGACTTACCCCATCTTCTGAGCCCCACAATAAGTTTATAAATATGAAAACCCCTTTTTACTTACCCCATTTATGGAGCCCCACATTGTTACTTACCCTTGACTTACCCCATTTACAGAGACCCACAATAAGTTTATAAATGAGGAAACCTCTTTTCACTTACCCCATTTATGGAGCCCCACATTGTTACACACCCCAGAATTACCCCATTTACAGAGACCCACAATAAGTTTAAAATTAAAGAAACCCTTTTTTCACTTACCCCATTTATGGAGCCCCACATTGTTACTTACCCCTGACTTACCCCATTTTCAGAGCCTCACAATAAGTTTATAAATATGAAAACCCCTTTTTACTTACCCCATTTATGGAGCCCCACATTGTTACTTACCCCTGACTTACCCCATTTTCAGAGCTCCACAATAAGTTTATAAACATGAAACTCATTGTTCCTTCGTGATCAATGTTGGTGAGTAAATTAAAGTTTATTTAATGACTCAGATGTATTTGCTGCTCGGATGTATTATTTGCCATTAGGCCTATTGCTTTTTTAGGCAGTTACAAAATTAGCCAAGACTTTATTCTTTCATGGACCCCTTTTTGTAATGTAAAAAAAATCATATTCCTGTTGCATACATGACATTTTTTTGCAGTTTGAAACGATTTTTAGACTCTCAGTAAAGTGAGAAAGTTAACTGAATATTGATTTTAGTTGTAAAAAAAAATTAAGATTTGATAAATGTTGGTTTTGATTTTCCTTCTAAATCCTGGCGTGGCTCTGTACAAACAAACTCTGCACAAACGAAAATTTACCTGTGTTATCATCATTTAATTTCTATCATTCATTTGAATTCAATTCAAGCTACTATTTCTCAACACACACTTTCCTAACAAAATTTCAAATTCAGTTTTGTGGTGACTTATAAAAGAAACCATCAGATAATCATTCTCCAAACGATCCAATATCGCCTTTCTTGCCAGATTATATTTCCAAGCTGAATTTCTTTGTAGAAATTGTCATCGTGAAAAAGTCATTTGCCCTTTTATTATATTTCTTCACTAATCCATATATCAGAGCAAAAGCTTCTTCATAAAGTTTTTTTTTTTACTCAAGATTATCAACTTAAGAAAGATATTGCGAATTTGTGAATAAATTTACCGATAGTTACTTTTTTCGTTTTGTTGTTTGCTTTGCTTTATTAATAACACAGGATAGACCAGTGGTTCTTTACCTTTTGATATATATTTAGTTACCTATTTCATTTCGTTTTTGTGTTGCTTTTAAAAACGCTGCGAAGCTTTAAATTGTTGTTACGTGTAGTTACTTATTTTGTTTTTGCTGCTTCTTGCCTTCCTTTTACAAATTCCTAGGTTTTAGTCGGAGTCAAAGCTTGGTATATTTGTATTTTCAAAACTACAGACTTGTGGTGATAATCGAATAAAATATTCAACAAAAATTTTGAAAATAATTTGACAAAGACAATTGAAAAAAAGCAAAAAGGAAAAAATTTGCCAAAATAGTTCTTTAATTTCTCTCATTTAAAAAAAACATTATTTGAGATGATATGCTTTGAAAGTTTGTCATGTCATTTTTTATGCTATTAAAAGACACCCTGTCTCTAATGAAATGATTTGTCTTCATTGTTTCGGCTTTCACATGTTCACAGTTTTCTCAGTAAACAATTGAAGTTGGCTTGTTAATTTCAACTTTTGTATATATTTGTTCATTTCTCTCATTTAAAAAACATTATTCAAAACAAAGTATATGCATTAGAAATTTCCTGTATTTAGTGACATCATTCTTTTACACCATTGAAAGACACTCCGTCTCTAAAAATGATTTGTCATCACTGTGTTGGCTTCACAACCTGTGTGCAGTCATGCATTTTATGCCCTGCAAGGTTAAATTGAAGAGATTTTTCCTCATTTAAGATGTTTGAACAAAGCAGTCATGCATGCATGTTTTACAGTGCAGAGTTGAATTAAACTTTTTTTCGTATATCAAGGTATGTTCGTTTAAAAATGCTGTCATGTGCATGCTTCATATTCCAGAATTGAATGAAACCATTTTTCGTTGAGATTTTGATCCAAATTTCATATATATTGGTGTCCTATTTAAACAAAACTCTGTATTTCATAGTTGAATTTTCTCTATTTTCTCCTAAACTTAAATATGATCTTTGAAAAAGCAGACTGTTTTATTTTGCGGTGTCGAATTTGACCCCTTTTTCTTGAATTTAAAATTGATTTCATGTATTCTAAAAATTGCATTTCAAAAATGCTCAGCTGTGATGGGTTGTTTTTAAAGAGAAGGCCTTGCTTCAAGCAAATTATAATATTCAATATGTTATATACACACTTTTAAATTTTCGACTATATTTGAAAAAAAAATTTACATCGGAACAAGGTTTCACACATTTTCACTTTTGTGTTCATTTGTTTTCATTTTTCGTGTTCATTAAAAAAACTGCATTGTAAAAATGTACATATTTTATTTGTAGATAAAAAAATGGAGGGGCAAGCTGCAAGGGGCCCATATGGCACTTCTCAAATCCTTTTTTTTCTCAAAAATGTCTCATGTACATTATAGGCCGGCACGCCCAATGTAGGATAGGGGATAGGATTCACATATTTATCCCGGAAGTAAGAAGGAAAGCCGATAAGACGGTTCAATCATATGGCAAACCACGGCCTCTCGTCCGGTTACCAGTCCAGGTCGGGTATGGGATTAGTTAGCCAGTTATTTGTTTTCGGATGAATGGACTTGATGGTGGAGGAAGTCCTAACCGATGTGAACCACCTATGTTATGTATTAATGGGTCAGAAAGTGCTTTATACTTAATTGCCGACACTAAAAATCATTACCGGTCCGTCGTTTTAATAATAACCATTTTTTGTGGGCTTATGAACCAGATTTTGTAAGTTCAACTACATAAATTTTTATTGTTGTTTTTATCATTTACAGATCTATGTGGGCATACGGTAGTCAACATACCGGTACGGTGTGGCTCAATGGGCTAAGCGTTAGGAATACGCTCGCCACCGCACCTCTAATTACTCTGCGTGGGTTCGCATCCTATGCAGGGATGGTTATGTGCGAGAGGATTGCTGGACTCCTCGCCGTCGTTGGGTGGTTCACGTAACCGCTGGTCGGTTACGGCTTCCTCCACCACCAAGTCCATGCTTCCGAAAACAAACAATACAGTAAAACTAATCCCATACCCGACTTGGAATGGTAACCGGGGCCGTGGTTCGCCATATGGACAAGCCGTCTTATCAGCTTTCCTCTCCCCCCGGGATAAATATGTAAATCCTATCCTATCCTAGATAATCTTTAAAAAACTTTTCGTCTTATAGCCCAGTATGTGGACAAAACTCCAACCTAAATTTTTTTTGCCAATGTGCCTTCTGGTCTGTTGAATACTGACAGGTTGATTGTTTTGTCAACCAAAATCAAACAAATGAAAGCATACATACATTGAAGAGAGTAAGAGGCACTGCTTTTTTGTAAGGACTGGAGTTTATGTCGATGATTTATGTGATGCATGATTGATAGAATCATGATTATGGAAGTCAGAAAAGCAAACAAGACAAGGCAGTGGTTTCAAACGTTTTTTTTTGTAAATTTCTTCCGGTACTGATTTCAAAAATCTCTATTCCTCCTCAATACGCACAATATTCATGTTTCCGTTAGCTGTCATTATCTGTCGATTAGGGCCGGGCGTTTTCGAATACTTGATGATTTCAGAATTGAGGCTTGAAAGACATGTGCACTGTGATGTCCATGTGTCTTCCAGTCACATAAATTACTGAAAACGTAGAATCCATCACTCAGACAGTTCGCTGTGTTCACATAAAATACGAAACACTTTTTATTTATCAATAACACAGAGGGAGAGAGAGTCATACGTCAGAATTCCATTTTGAAAATATGGGATAAAAAAATTGAGGGGTGGACAAAAAGAACAAGATGGGAGACGGGTTAAAATATTCTTTAAATTGAATAATTTGCTATTGAATTCGAAAGGCCCAGCCCTACTGATGATATGCATAACCTGCACTCTAGTTCATAAAGTGACCATAGACATGTTGCACATTTCTAATAATTATCTGTTAGGTGACGCCGCTCGTTAACCATCACTGGTTTATCGCGTCTTCTTTCACACTGAAATGCATTTTTTTATTTTTCTCAATTAGGTTTGCTCAATTTGTACGTTTGTGATAAAATAAACTACTGACTAGTCAATATTAACGAAACTACAAAATAGCCTATAAGTTTTCCTCTCCAAAGGGGAATATATTTTAACTATGGAGGAATTCCTTCGGAAAATATTAAAAATGGGAAATAGACATCGTTCATCGGCATCGTTCCTTCAGATATTATAAATGGTGGTTTAGAATAGGATTTTCATATGGTCGATCCTGATAGCCTCTCGTTTCAGATACATGTATGAACTTGATTGTCCGGAAGGTTTTCACATGAAGCTACGACGCTCGAAGGATACACTGCTTTTATCATTCGTCTTTTGTATATGTTTGTGTTGTGTGTGTATGATAGGGGTAAACTGGCACGTGTATTTCTACACGTATTATTCTCAAGCTTTCGTGTCATTGTTTTTTGTACGTTTTTGCGATGAAATCAAAATAAATTTACAATTATGAGCTTTGGAAAGAATTTTAAGGGTCGATTGAATTATTGTTACGAACCCACCAGTGAGGACTAGGGATGAGCCGGGATTCGGATTTGAGTCGAATCCAGGTATTTTTTGGACTCTGATTCGATTTCGAGTGGACGTCATTTTTACCTAGTCTATAATCAATTGTTTTTACTAATTTACTATATTTGTACTTTTGCCTCTATAAATCTCACTACATACCTCAACTAGTTAAAATTCAAGGTTAGATTTGTAACAATATCCCTCATGTGTATTATAAACACTCCTAATAAAGACGACGACAGATATCCAGTTATAATATTGATAGCTTATAACAATGATGCGCCAGTCGTCTTCAGACTATCTATCCTTTTTGGCATACACGTGGTACACAAAAAAATATGTGTTAGTTAGCGCAATATTTTTGAGTTTTCGATTCGCGTAAGAATGAAACATGCTTTGGATGAACCCAATGGGGAATCTCATCAATACCGTACCTCTTTTAAATCGAGTTCATTACGTGCAATCCTTTCTCTAAAAAGGGAGCAATGGAAAGCATGGAGAGTTTTAGAATGTTTACATGAACTACTAAATTACAAGCAGATGTACAACATTGCATTGACGTTGAGTGGCATTTCTCTACCATTTGCGCACGTGGCATAGTAAATTTACAGCTAGAAATATCCGGAACTATGGGAAAGCATTGTTATCAAAAGCTTTTTATTTTTTCATATCGACATGTAAGAATTTCTGAATAGCCACCCAGAATTGACGCAAGGTGGTGGGCTGGAAATCCAGTTCACAGCTAAGGCGCACATTGACCCACGTTTACGCTTGTATTATGGCAGCAAAAAAAAACGAAAAATATATTTTCGAATTGATTCAACAGCTACCGGTATGTGAGGAACCATTAGACAAAAAATATGAGCTACGTCGTATGTTTGTGAGCGCGCGATGCTGTAGTATTGTCAAAATAGTGTTTTTCTACTTTTACATTGTGACGTCACGGACTCGGAGGATTCGATTCGAGTCCTTGACCTATTACTCGGATTCGTCGAATC